GGGTGCTGGACGGCAATTGAGTACCCCAATTGAAGATGCTTTGCGATTTTCTTGAGCTTCCAACGCATCCCACTCCTCCGCCTCCTGCCATTAGGCCGGAGCAGTAACTCATAGTATGATGGGGAAGTTGTGGGGATGACGGCTGATCGAATGGTGACGCCGAGATGATGCTACCACTTTCGACCGCACCGCAGAGCGTAGAAGAGGTCCTAAGACTAGGACCGGTACCGGAACCGCGGCAGCTAGTTGAATAGAGTGTGGCGGACCAGATCTTGCATTGGTGCATGGCACGAAATTGTTGCCGGAGTAAGCTAGACTGAGACTAATCGAAGATGGAATTCTTTATGTGCTGTTTTTCCCGCCAGTACCCAACTACGTCCTCGATATTTACTACGAGTACCATGTCATAGAGATTCAACTCATGCACATCATATTTTGATGGTATTTGGAAACTCCAGGTGCAAACAAGCTTCTTGGACAAGGGTCCGGAGCTTACGTTCCGGTAGTTGTATCCGGACATGCTACAGTGATACTCTGGTGTTGCTCAATGTCTCTTTCTTCCAATACAGGTCATTTAAACAAAGATGATTAGCTCATGCCACCCCATAGTTCATCTCATCGATTGACTTCCCGTCTTTCCCACATTACGGATTGCGGGATCACTCTTGGCTTCGTGGTACAAAGAGCCTCATCCGCCTAATGTAAGCGTCATCGGTGCCGGCCGTACCCACTCACGGCCCGGAGTTATTCTCCACGCGGCCCATCCTTGATGTGGTTTGTCCCACCCCGAGCTCACCGGGGACAACTCCGTGAGGTGGTTCTGACGTCTGATTGATGGCAGTAGTGGTTTCTTTTGACTTCAGAGCAAATTTTTTCTCTATGGTAAGCTAGAAGCGAGCCGTTGACACGCGCTGGGCTAGCTGATGTGCAGACTGTGGACTCAGTCAAGCCGGCACCAATCTATTGAATAGAATGGCTGATGACGGCAGGATTACAGCTAACGACTCGATGCCCACGTGTAATTTGCAATTGCCGCCCAAGCTCCGGGATTATGGTCCAGAATGATGAGGAATCTCGAAGTCCATGAACTCATCTCTAGAGGCGAACCCTTCACCTAGTCCGGCTTCCGAGTTCGGAACTATGATGGCTCAAGGGTTGTTGTCGATTAGTCTGGCTAGATATGTCGCGGTCATTCAACAATTGGAGTGCCGAGTGCCGGAAAGTGATCCAGATCTTGTATAAGAGCCAGCCCACGATCATTCCAGAATGGAAACCACTACCGGGGCATCTTCAACATCTCGACACGACAGAGATCAGAAGCTCATACACAATGGCACCAAGGAGCATGTTTAGACTGCTCGCCTTGGCCTCCGGCGCATTCGCCGTGCCCTTCGTCTCCGAGCCACAGACTACCGTCACCTCGGAGCCTACAATCACTCCATCACAAGTGGCAGTCACCAACGTGACCTCTCACGGCCCCTACACGGGTCCATCACCAACCACAACCGGCGCGCTCTCAACCAGCGTCCTAGCCTCCGAGGTTCCGATTCTGCCCCCTCCAGACGATGCCTACGACTACCCGGCGGACGGCAAGCTCCACGGCGACCAGCCCGCGCCGTACACGCCTTCGGGTGGCATCGGTACCAACGGTTCGGCCCCAGTCTACCGCGTCCAGAGCGACTTCGACTACCAGTCCCTCGCCCTGGCGCTGTACCAGGAGTACATCGAGCTCGACCTCTTCCACTGGGGCCTTGCCACCTTTCCCGTTGAAGAGTTCGAGGAGCTCGGTCTGAATGCTGAGGACCGCTATCTCCTGCAGTTCATGGCTGAGCAAGAGATTGGCCATGCCACCGTTATCACAAACATGCTTGGTGCACAGGCACCCAAGCAATGCACCTACAACTACCCCGTCACCAATCTCCGGGAGTACATCGACTTCAACCAGAAGCTCACTCGCTGGGGTGAGTCAGGCGTGTACGGCTTCCTGCCGCACCTCAACTCTGGCCCGGCAGCCCAGCTGTTGCTGCAAAGTATCACGACCGAGGCGCGCCAGCAAATGATCTTCCGGCAATTCGAGGGCTTGTTCCCCATGCCGGAGTGGCACATCCCGGGTATCCCGCAGAGTTGGGCCTGGACTCTCCTGGCCCCGTATATCTCTAGCTGCCCGGCGGACCAGACTCGTCTCATCTGGCAAAACTTCCCTGCCTTGCATATTCTAAATCAGCCCAACCCTTACCGCATCAACGGTTCCAATGTCTGGAATGAGACTACCGGCGGCTGGGCGAACACCGCGGCCACGACCAACATTACCGATGCTGAATCCTGTGTCAATGCCACGGATCCCCTCCAGGATTGCAATGCCGCCATCACCCAGAACCGCACCATGCCCCTGTCCTACCCAGGCCGTCAGGTCTTCTTCCAATGGGATGCCCCTGGCCAGGCTGTCGGTCCCAACAACAGCTATATCACTGCCACCAACGTCGTGGAGCCAAAGTTTGCCGCCTGGGTGTCCCAGTTGAACGTTACCTTCTCGCCGCTTATGAACGTTAGACTCGAGTCTCGTACTGCGTACACTATTCAGCCCAACGTTTCGACATGGGAGCATGATCCTGCCATCAACTCGACCATGTTTGTTGCTCTTACGGACACCGATACGTATGTCACGGCTCACAACTTGACCATGATCAATCCGCATGTTGCCGCGCTTGCTGTATACCAAGCTGGCTGAGGAGAATGATTTGGTGCAAAGTTTATCGAGTAACAATTCTCGGCCTTACATACTAGTAAGGACATTGTTGTACAATACTTAATAAACCTTCAACGTTAATGATAATTCCACAAGACTGCCAAATCTGCGCGTGAACTTTATTCATCCACATGCACATGTTTAGATGTTATATGGGGAAATAGATGTTGATGCTGATTGGCATTCAATTGCTCGCCTAAAATCATGATCGTCTCGTGACGCGTCGTATATATCTCGTCAAATCCAAATGTGCCAGTGAACGCTTTTGCATAACAAAGAGTGCTTCACGTATAGACACCTATTGGACTCTGATTGCCTTTTCTCTACCAGATGCAAATCTACTCGTATAGAACCATGTCGGGGAGGGCTAATCTAGAGCTCGTTGTGCTCCTGGCCGTCGGCGTCAGAGTCGGCGACAATAGTCTTGACGACGTCAGCCGCCTCAGCGACCTTGCTGGCGACCTTCTCGGCAATGCCCTCGGTGGCGGACTCGACAGCCTCGCTGGCAGCCGAGGAGGCCTTGACGATGATCTTCTCGGGCTTGGGAACACCGTCAATGCCAACGAGCTCGGTCTCGAAGACTGGATGCGTCACTGATTAGCGCAGTTTTCACAGAGCAGGCTAATTATTCATACCAAGAGTTGAGCCGCCGGGAATGGGGCCCATGCCGCGGGGTCCGTATCCAAGCTCAGGGGGGATGGTCAGGGTTCTGCGAGGCGTCAGTAACGATTCGTCTCGGGTCATTGAGTGTCCCAATACTTACCTCTTCTCGCCAATGCACATGTCCAGAAGTCCTTGCTCCCATCTGTACAATTGTTAGCCTCCGTAGTGTCTTCCAATGCTTCCTGAGTCGATCGTTTATGGGGGAACTGACCCCTTGATGACCTGGCCGCTGCCAATCTTGAAGCTGAAGGGGGTTCCGCGATCGTAGCCTTGAGAATTGAGACGTCAGCTTTGCTCCAAAGAGCTCTCAGCAGGAGCACGGTGACCTACTAGCATCGAATTGCTTGCCGTCGGCCTGCAGAGTACCACGGTAGTGCATGGTGAGTTTGTCGCCATTCTTGGTCTTGCGGTCGCACTCGACCTCCTGAGTGACGTCGATCTTCAGGTCAGCAGCAGCAACGAAGCTGACGGCGCTGGAGGCCAGAAGGCCGAGAGAGAGAAGGAGACCCTGCATTGTGCCTGTTTTGAGAAGGGCGAGGCGAGGATTCGGCGATGAGAATGATGGTAAAGTCGTGAAGGTGGGCGGTCAATTGGTCGGACTGGACAGGAACAACACAGCTGGCTGGCAACAGGGAAGACAGCTGCAGGGAGGGGCCACCAGACTGCCACACACTGGCCGAAGGTGGGTTGAAGACACGCCGCCTCAACTTCTCTATCCTCCGATTAGCCAATCCCGACAGCCGGAGCTCCAGGTCCGTGTGGCCCGCGTGTGGACCCCTTTTAAGATATTCCGGGGCGGACGATACGTACCTTACCTAATGCCCTAGGTACCTTACCTTACCTTACCTACCTACTGTGTAAGCATCGTCTTATCGATAGCTTGAGCTTGCTTATCGTGGGGATCCACCCCCACCAAGCTCTCCTCCACTCCATAAACACTCAAAGTCCCCAGTCTCCCAGCTGACATTCTTGCGTGACGTCAAGCTACCGAAAGACAATGTCCTTCTCCCATCATCCTTTCCTTGCATGGTGATGATGGTGGATACTCCATGCAGCACGTGAGAGGGCGTCGACAGCCTTGCAAATTCTACGTCAAAGACACGAAATCCGCGTCACCTGAGTCTCCCGGGGTTCCATGACCACGCGCGCCGCCTCGCCTTTCTGGGCCTCGGTTCTTCCACTTCGGTGTCGTCGTCGTTTCTTTTTCTCTTGGGTCTCGGCCTTCTGGTTAGCAGCAATTGGGTGGCAGTGCTGGACGTACCGTTGTCATCATGGCCAAGGCAGAATCCGCTTCAACGACCCAAATCTCGAATACGAGATGTTGCGGTACGGCAATGAGTCAGAGGGCAAATTTTATGGCCGCCTTCCCTTACATCAGTCACCCAAGCGAGTGGCCCTTCATGTTGCCCGGTGTAGGCGACCATAAAGTCCCTTCCCATTACTTGGACTTGCTAATAACCATCATGAACCTGCCGGCAAGGCCAGGGACGAATGTATCGAGGCAGAAAGCTAAATCAGCACTTAGAGGTCCAATCATCATCATAGACTCGCACATCTGTGGACTTCGTTGATTGAAGTATGACTCTACTATCTATAGATGATTCTCATCATTTCCCGGGGAGACCTGGTGACAAGCTGCCCTGTGTTCTAAATCCCTTGCAAGCGTAGCAGCAAAGTCTTCCATGGTAGTACCTCGGACTCTACTACCAATCTTTTCTTCACCGAGGACACTGTCTTCCGCGATATCACGAAACACCCCTGCAGCTCCTTGGAATAAGCCCAGGGCAAACCCACCCTCTTCGGCATGAGTTCGGGCTATCTCCTCCATCTCGAATACCCAGCGGTATGCTTTCAGGGGCGTGACAACGACGCCGCTCTCGGCTAGACGTAAGTGATCTGGGAGACGTAGCTGCAACTCATCTTTGAGAAAGTCGAGCTGGCCGAGTCGTTCCGCTGTGGTAAATCCTTGTGCGGCGACTGCGATGTACCCCTTGAACATGGTTGTGTAACACATCTTGAGTCCGCTGGCAGCTCCCACGTTGGTGCCCAAATAGCGCATGTTCAGCGCCGCATACAGTCTCGCTCCGTGATAGGGCAGATCAGTGATGTGATGAGGACCGGAAATAGGGATTTGGGGCTGTACCCAACGACCAAGGTTGGGATCAACACCGCTCATAGCCGTCGTAGGTGTGATGCTCTGCAGCCCTACGTCGCTTGGTGGGACGAAGACGGGGGGTTCTCCCAGGATTGAGCCGTCAATGAAGCGAGCGCTGTGCTGAACCGAGGTGAAGAGCTCAGCTGTCCCTTGAGCCGTTGATGGTGCAACAGCGTTAAGATCTATGAAGTACAAGGGGCTACACCGCTGCGAACCACGGGTGGCGAGTTCGTGTAAGGCGTCCACTACTCGCTGCGCCGTTTCCAGCGCATCTCTTGGAGGTACAACTGAGAGGATAACCGACGATTTCTCTAATAATTCAACATCGGACGACAGGACTTCCACGTTGGCTTCCTCAGCTCGTCGAATGGTAGCTCGGCTGGTACACGAAGCAACATGGGTCAGACCTGACTGAAATTGGGTTATGTCTCACGAACCTTCTGCCATGTACGCTTGTGCCAACATCAAATCCATGAGCCTTGAGGAGCTTCGCGATACCCGCTCCCATATCCCCAATAGAGAGTATGCCCACGTAATCTTGCTGCGCTGTTGAGTTCATGGTGAAGTATTATGAGTTCCTTGAGGTGATAAACTTTAGCTCTTAACAGATGGTTTACCGCTCGATACTTAAATATCCCGATTCTCTTCAAGACTTACTCATTAGACTCTTAACTACGCCAGTTCCTGGCAATGAACGGCTAAATACCTATGCTGCTACGGAAAACTTTGTTCTCGGTTACGATCAAGATTGGCTGACAGCACACTCACGCCCTACTGACGCCCTAATAGTGCCGTCACTCCGTGGAATCCATGTCATTGCTACATGAGACGTATGCTTATCACGTAACCAACTTTCCTCTGCATCGCGTCAGGTGTAGGATGAGAAAGGGACCAGAAGACCATGCTAATTTTAATCGAGTCCTCTCAAGCGTCAACCTCACTTCTAAGGTACCTTAGTCGGTGAGAGTCGGCGAGGCCTTCGAGGAGGTGCTGATGTTGAGATCTAGTGTGGCTGGTACGTTGCGCCTTCAGTGTGGCGTTTGGACTAGCCCAATCGGGCTATGGTTGATGCCCTGCGCATTCCCATCGCAGGTCTGCTGGCGGGTGCCTGGCCCAGGTGCTTTTTCCGTTTCTCTTCCACATGTCAGTCCGTCAGACTACACAGTCATCAAGTAGTTGACGATTAGCCATCCTTCGCCCACGTCAAGATGGTACTCGCCTCGTGCTGCGTCCCTGTCAGACTGACAGCTTTCAACTGGTAATTCAGCATACATACTACTGCAAATGGGGGTACAAACCGGATGAGGATCACAGTCATTCCGCGCAAATGGGTACCTTGCCTATCCGACAGATGCATCGATGCGATATGAGAGACGACGAAAGATGCGCTAAGCAGTAGCTGCGCAGGTAGGCGGCCGGCGTTCGCTTCGCATGATGTTGCTTTTTGCACATTTGAAGGCTGTCGACGCTGGGTAGCAGCAGCAGCAGCAGCAGCAGTTGATTATGTTGTTGCTCCGTCGTCCCGTCTCTGCCAGTCTGACACGACACCGACGCAGCAGAGAAACATCGGACTCACTTGTCGCCCAGCCTCCAGTGGGCGATCAAATCATGCAGCTCGCCCTATTGCCCTGCACACCAAAGGCATGAACACCTCCACTCGGCAGAATGATCACCACCGCTGCATCGCTGCAGACTCCCGCGATCTTCTTCTGGCACTTGTTCTGCAGGCAATTTAGCTACTGCAGCCAGATCGCTACTACTTTCATATCTGACGACTGCTAGGCCACCATTGACCCGATCGAATGGATGCGATGGAGGTCCGTTGGGTCGCAGTCTGCATAGCAGGGGATGCCCCTTGTCCGCCTCCAAAGACATCGGGCTCGACCCGAACTCTCTGGCCCCTTGGAGGCCCAACTCGACCGGCTTCCAGAAACACAGACATTTCTTGTCTCCGGCGGATGGTCCCGGCTGAGTGGAAACCAGAGTGACATGAAAAAAAGGAAGCAAAATTACAATGGCAACCCGAGGATCATCGGGCTATGAGTTGGGCAGCGACAGTCCTCCGTGAGCCAGGGGCTATGCTGGTACTGATACCTTCTTCTCTTGAGACTCGAGCAACAAGAGCACAGAAAAATCTTTTCTTCTTCCTGTGTGTCATTCCAGATTTGGCGACACGGCTGAGGGGTGGCCTCCCAATCTGGCAGACACACTCACAGAGTGTCCTGCACGGCGGCGAAGCGCTTACGGGGGCCAACCAAGGCTGGCACTCTCACGAGTCCATGAGGATGGGAGACGACAGCCAAGTTCCTGCAAGGCCTTGGCTGCTCTGGCTCTTTTTTTTTTCTTCTACTTTCGCCGCGAAATCACAGGCTCTGGCCCCCAAAGCTGAGCAGCCACAAGCCCGCAAAAAACGGCTCTTACGCGTCGCCGCTTGGTCATCGACATCAGGCTGGCGCGAATTATGGCATCACTGATCAGTTTTTGAGTCTGGACGTTTCGAAGCTGCGAATGAATGATGACAAACAGTGTCAATGATACGTACGGCGGCTAAGGGTGGACGCAGGTGAAAGCAGGCATAGTACAACATCCAAGCAGGGCGAGACACAGCGGCAGTCCTGTCAATCATCGCCCTGAATCCGCCCTACCTGTGTCGTCCGACCATCCCTCGTCCAATCAACCATGCCGTTTCGCCACCGAGGCATCAAGGGAGGGTTTCCTGGGAGGTACTGCTTCTCCTGATGCTGCGAGTCCTGCTGCTACCAAGCATGGCCCCAAAGGACTTTGGCGTTGTTTGGTCGGTAGTGTGGTAGTCTGGTAGGACTTCATAGACGCACACGCGCTGCATCCTGACGTCCACTCCGGAAAGATGCTCAAGACCCGCCAACCGCACCCTTTTCTGGTTTCCACAGCATCTGCAACATCACAACACCCCTCTTCCCTGCTTTCCTTGGTAATCCATGGACTTTATTACTTCGGACTAAACTACTCTAGCGTTTGCCGTGCCTAACGTCCCTGCATTCTGAAGGGCCCTGAAATGACAAAGCTGCCCAATGGATTCCCAGTCGCCTTGCGACACAGACAGAACAGGACACACACACACACACACACACACACACACACCTCTGGACACCACAGACTCTCAAGTCTAAACGCACACACCCGGCCCCTTCTTACACTATGGTCAGCCCCAAAGCATCCAGGGCTATCCCCACACTGCCTCACACCTCACACCTGGGCTGGCACCTCTGCTCCGTACTCAAGTCTGCTTTCGAAGCAATGCTTTCCAAGGTCCAAGGTCTTGTCGGGCTGAGGTTGAGTCACTCACTCTTTGCTTCGCCTACACCACACACCACCCAGCAGCGAGACTTTCCACAAGGCATTTCTTCTACTTGGCCCGGTCCAGGTCCCGGCCCATGTCCAGGTACCTCTTGCATGGCCAGGCAGGCCAAACCTTTTGCGGGCCTTTTTTTTCTCTCTCTGTGTCTCTCTTCTTTCTCTCTGCCGTACCGTACACCCCGGGACCAAGCATGCCCTGCCTACGGCAAGTGCTGATGGCACACGCGTTCGAGTATCCGTACATACAAGTGTACGTACAAAGATAATGGAGGCATCCCAGGTCTGGGTGTGGTGTCTGCAAACACCTCCCATCTATATATCCTGCCATGCCCTCTGCCTCTCTTTCCTGGATTTGAGCATCTCCTTCACCAAACTCTCAAGTCAAGCACTCGTGAATCAAACTTCACAAAGACCTTAGCAGCTCAACTCTCTTCAACAAGCACATCACCCTTGGAGACCAACCTCCACCTACCACACAACACCACACACATCTCGAAGCCCAACTCGAGTAACACAAAACACACCATGGCCTCCAGATACAGCTCCTCCAAGCCGGTCGTCCACCAGGCCCCGGCCTCCATCAGCAGCGCCTACTCGGCATCAACAGGCTCATACGCCTCATCAAGAGGCTCTTCCACCCCTCGCTCCATCTCTCCCAGCGACGAGGCCTACCTCCGTGTCTACGGTGCGGACCAGCACCGAGCTGCCATCAAGGAGAACAGCGGCGTCACCATCATCAACCGCAAGCAATCCGGCTACGACGCCCACGCTCCATCACCACACTACGGCGGCGGATACTCGCGCCATTAGACGGCCGATGCGACTCTTGCACTCTTTCAACGACAACACAATCAACTTCACTTTGTAAATGCATAAAGGCTGGCGTTATTTGGGGAGGGTTTGGGCATAAGCAACTGGGCGGCTTTCGCACTCCTGTACAGCATATTGTAACACCGTGATTGGCCCGCGGAACAGCATTGGAATTTACGGGATGCATGGATGATAATGGGGACACATGGGAATTTGGTATTGTGGGAACACCCCCAAGGATGGATAGGAGGTTGATACCTTGTATATGTTTGTATGTCGTACCGACGGATGGGACGGGAGCCACTGTCATGTCTAGATTAGATGGGATTCTTTTTGTGTTTTACGGGATAAGGTAACCAACCACTGGATCTGCGACACTTTGGTGCTCGCCTGTAGATCGATGGTATCCTGTCAAATTCTTCAACAAACTGTTACAACTTTTTTGCACATTTACCTCTAGCCTACTTGCCTACCGCCAATGAGTGAGTGACATGCATGTCTCCTATTTCCTTCTCCCCAATCCAACCATAAGCTCGGTGTGCCTGCGTAGTCGTCCCAAACGGGGAATTTGAATTTTCTTCTGTCTCTGCAACCCACCGGTGCGCCCGCCTCATTGTCTCTGAACCCAAAAAGTCAAAAACGACGAGGGCTCAAGGGTGTGGGAAAAAAGTGCGGAAAAATACGCAAAGCTTCCACTGGAACCCAAGCATATGATCCATGGACTGAGTCCCTCCCCCCTAAGGAAAAGAAAACGTTTACTTTGAAGAAAGGGGTCCAGTCCAGACTCTGGAGCAATCAAGGCAAGGCAAGCAAAAGTGTCGCTGCATTCACTCCCCCCCCAGACTCCAGACTGGACTTCTTTCAGGGGAAGGGAGCCTACCTACCTCACTGTATACGTCCGAATACTCCGTAGCCAGGCACGCCAGGGTAAGCAAGGCATGTCAAAGTCCCTGATTGATTGTGGTCCCCCCCAGGCCAGCGGCCCAGCGCTGCTGCAACTGCAAGGGGCGGGAGCGACGGCAGGACCGCAGTCCGAGTGCAGAAGAGCGACCATACGCCCATGGAGAAAATACAAAAAAAAAAAAAAAAAAAAAGTTGGAGAAAGAGTGACGGGGCCCCGGGAGACTGGGTGTAGCGTGCGGTACCATAGCAAGCGCAGCTTGGTCCAGTCCAGACTACAACTTCAGACCGGGCAGGCCAGGCTGGCTGGCTGTGGAGGCATTGAATGCAGTGGAGGCAGTGAAACTTGAGACTCTGATGACTTGCGTTGTTTCTACCTCTCTCTCCTGACGGCTGAGCCCCATCTGTCTTTCCTCCCTGTGTCTCTCTCGTGGCAATGACTTGCATGTGTCTTCGTTGACGCGCAGCCTAAGGTGCCATGCACCATGAAGCGCGGGATGGGCTGGAATGCAGATTCACCTCGACTACCTACTTTCACCAGCAGTAAAGGGGACTTTGCCCAGGAGTCTAGGATAGAACATGCCCCTGACCATAAGTTGCGAATCTGCCGGTCTTTATGCCTTCTTCACTTTTTCCCCTTTTTTGTGGGTTGCCTTCTAACTTCTCGGCTTGAGGAGTCTGGGGAATAGTTCACATGTACATTGGGTAGGTACCTGGCTGGGGGAATGATGGAGGAGGGCTCCAGTGCGGCTGTATGGCCATGCCAATACTCCAAGAATAGAAACAGAGGTAATACCCCAAAAAGACCCTTGGATCTGCCACCTCGTGTCCACTGACAAGAGCAGGATTCAATCACGACAAGGCTGCAAGAAACAAGTTGATGATACATGCATGTCATTAATATCTCCGTTTCTGATGGCAGTCCAATCCGTATTTCTGTTTCTTTCTTTTTGGTTTATTTTCGGAAGCTAGAGTTCCAGTTTGACGTGCTATCCACTAAGATGCCCTGACAAGGAAACAACTAAACTTGTTTTTGGCTCTTTTCTGCTGTTCGTAGACTCATTCATGGAAGAGTGTAGATTCTCCATATCATAACCGTGGTACCGAATACCAATCAATAATCCTACATCGTATTTCCGCACTTCCTCAATGTGCATCATCCTCCACCATGTTCGCCTCAAAGTCGTAGTAGCGCGGATGGATGACGAGACGAGGAATCAGATACTGTCGAACGGGACACCCCGACGAACTCACGCGCCACCCTCGCGCTTGGCGTACTCGTCCTCAATGGCCTCGGCATACTTGTCGTCGGCGCTGCGGGGATCCTCCTTCAGCACGCCCTCTTTGATGAGGTCCTCGGGGGCGGGGCGGTGGGAGATCTTGTCGTTGAGGGAGTCTGCACGCATGTGTTTCTCAAGCTCCTTCTGGTGGGCGATCAAGCTAGGTGCGGCGTTGGAGGCGGGCAAGATGTTCTCTGTTGGAAGGTCAGTTAGCATGTTACCATCGTATCAGTGCAAATCCGGGACGAGGCGGCGTAGAGTCTCCGGCTATGTGCAGCAGGTGCATTGAGGGTGGGGTTTTTCTTCCAGACAATTTGAGGTGATCCCGGTTTTGATGATCGGCGGGTGAGGCGGACGGTGGGGCGCGACGGACGGGAAGATGTGGAGGGGGGACGCATCGAATAGGGGAAAGAAAACAGGAAATCGCGACAATAGTGTATACGGGGCAGATTCGAATGGGAGGCGGCGTTGGTTGTGATTGCAGATTCAAATGCACATTGGAGCAGGGATTGGATCATGAGATGGAGATTGTGGGAAGGGATTCACGTACTCTCGACCAACTCGGCGCGATCGGGACGGTGTTGGAGGTGGGCCTCGAGCGAGTTTTTGCGCTCGCCGGCGGGGTGGGTGATGGGTGTCTCGTCGACGACGGACTTGGTGTCCTCGTCAGACATGGTTGATTTGTTGGTGGTGTTGTTGGTCGGCGGGGGATCTGATGGATGGATCTGGTATCTGATGCTCGAACGGGGCGAGCTGTGGTCGGGTTCCGGTGAAGCTGGGGTTTACGGATTCGTCTCGCCTTGTTTTCGTTGCGCAGGGTAAGGAACAAGCAGGATTTGCGATTGTTCCGCCTTGGAATTGGGATGATAAGTGGTAAGCGTAGTAGTCAAACTGCGGTTTTCGCGATGAAGAACGTGGATAGAAGATGGTAGTCTGGACGCGGGAGGGCGGAGTATGGGTGGTCGCGGGTAATGGTGTTTTTTGTAGTCTCTCCGATCTTCTGCAGTCTGCGTCTGCACACCTTGAACTTGGAAGAGGGGTTGAACTGGAACAGCAAGGCACGTTCACGTCTGGAATAAGGTGGTCGGATGGATGAGCGTATTGGTTGTGGTTGGGGTTGGGGTTGGGTTGGCACAGTTGGTATGGCAATGACAAAAGATAGGCACATGGGACGGGCACCCAGCACCCAAGGTCGAGACTCAAGAAAGCAGGAGACACCCGCCCTTGTGGCCTGTTGCTCTTGCCGTCTGCTGGTGAGGTGAGGTGAGGTGAGGTGTGACGAAGCTGAGCTGGGGGGGAGGCAGGCGCGAAAGAGGGGTACCCCGCCCTGTAGCTCGCCCCTCCTGGCTCTTTCCTGGAGCTACAGACCCGCATTTCCCAGGCCATTGCATCACAGGTCGCCTTATGTAAGGCGGTACGTACTTCTTCATCGACTCCACCTTTGGCCTGAGGATGGGTCCAAAGCTGTCAGGCGCGTGACATGTCACTGGCTGCTCCTCTGAAACTCTCTCCTTCACATCCATCGGGTGCCCTCTGTAATCTTTTTGCATCTGATGTTGCATTCGGGCTGAAGCTTCAAGCTGCAAGCTCCGTCGCCCAGGAAACTCGGAGACAGATCATCATTGTTTTCTTCTGTGTCTTTCAAAACAATGACATTCAGCACCAGGTGCATTCCTTACGACCATCCTTATCCGAGATGAGATAGCTGCCACTGCACTCGGCCTGCCAGCCCCCGCTGACTTTGAGGGCTGATGACGTCTAGCGCACGGGAATCCATTCTCACCCCAGTCAGAGCACATTTCGACTAGGCCTCCACGTCCCCTGGACGGAACAGCAGCTTCGGTGATGAGATCATGAGGCCCATCTCGCCCCTTCTCATCTTACCTCGCTCGTCGACTTTGCAAGGAGTACGCACTAAACAATACGGGTACGGATGCCTCGTGATCAGGCCCCAGAGCAGGCCGCCATAGACAGCATCTGCCGTGCCATCAGATCGCAATAAGTGCTGCGCCACCAGCCAAGTGAATCTCAGCCACCGTTCTAGAGCCCTTAGTTCCACATCCTCCCTCCGAGTAATACCTACTTGGAGGTCGGGAGAGATCCACAAGCGCGACAGCAGCACTTCTACTGGAACTACCACAGGAACTGAATCTCCAAAGTCTGCTATGATCTGATAACCCTTGCAGTTCTAGTGAAAAGTCGGCTTGAATGCACTTGAAGCCTCTACTCAAAATCAGGACATGTAGCCAGAGCAAGCACTTCAGGTTTATGGCTTGTCGGATGCTGGCTACGGCTGGCTTGACGGCGTATGCGACGTGATTCAGTGAGCAACGCACATCTACGAAACCAATCGCGCCAATAACTTCGAACCACGAGTACCCGTTCTGCCTACTATGCAGCCTTAATTGGGCAGACAGCCTGCAGTGTCCTCATTCTAGCATTGCCTACAGCTTTGATTCCATTTAGTCACTTGACCCTCGAGGCTCGCGCTTTCTTCTTTCCGTTTTTCCTAAGGTCAGCAAACATCTTGGGAGAGAATTCGGGAAAGGCCTAATATCGCCGCACCCTGGATGCATTGATACGATCCAACTCTTCTCGACATCATTCTCGATATCATGAGGCTTCTCAACGTCTTCACCTTGCAGCCTCAGGAATTCAACGGCGGCGGTATTCCTACATACGCAATCCTCTCGCACACATGGGAGGAGGAGGAAGTCACCTATCAAGACCTGACATCCGGGGCCTACGCATCCAAGAAAGGGTTCATCAAGATTCGGGCGTGTTGCAGCCAGGCATTCAACGATGGTTACGACTGGGTGTGGGTGGACACATGCTGTATTGACAAGACCTCAAGTGCAGAGTTGTCTGAGGCCATCAATTCCATGTTTCACTGGTATAGTGGCGCTGTTGTTTGCTACGTCTTTCTAAGCGATCTGCCCGCCCAGGCTCCCTGTGACCTCGATCCTCAATCTTTCCTATCCTGTAGGTGGTTTACCAGGGGATGGACGCTACAAGAACTCCTTGCCCCAGCCATCGTTGAGTTTTACGATCAAGGGTGGAACGAGATTGGCACCAAGCTTTCGCTGGGAAACATAATACATATTCAGACCGGCATACGACACGATGTCTTGTCTGGTCGAATCTCATTATTTTCAACGAGCATTGCCGAGCGCATGTCCTGGGCTTCAAGCAGGAAAACGTCTCGGGAGGAAGACACCGCATATAGCCTTATGGGCATCTTCGACATCAACATGCCTCTTCTCTACGGAGAGGGGAGGCGGGCATTCTCGCGTCTTCAACAAGAGATTCTCCGTAAATCCGAAGACCTGAGCATACTGCTCTGGGTCTCGACCTGCGACGACGTTGTTGACGTTTCTGTTCTTGCGCAAGCACCGATTGCGTTCCGGAACTTGAAATTTCAACTCGGAGTTGGGGAATCCGCCGTGTCGTTGGAGCGTACTTGGGAATCCATCAAGCCAATGGTTATTGCGCACCCGTCTATAACGTTGCCCATCCGATCACGTATTGACGATGAAGCTGCAGAAGGCATACACCCACCGACCATCACAAGTCGAGGCTTAGGTGTACGTTTACCCTTTGCTAGACGGAAATACGGCGCACCTTTGTTACCCATTGCAAGACAGGCACGCTTGGAACTCGGCGAAGCCACAACCCAATGGAATTTCTATGCCTGTGCGCGTTGGGAGGGTGATATCACTGCAGAAGGACAGCCCGTTCACCTCGATGGATATCTCTGCATTCTATTGCGCGACAGCGGCCCGTTCCCCGATAGTACGTCTATCCACACACGATCAGGTACGGAGGAACTTCACTTCATATCAAAATATGAACGCTTCGAGTATTCCCCTCAACTGTACATGTGCCTGGAAACTCCAAGGAACACATTCGCCGTCAATATACCCATCCCGGACTTCAGAGTTGTGTTAGACCAAAGGTCTCCATACGTTCTTAGGATATGCCAAGTCACCAACTCCATAAGCCAGCTCCTTGATCGAAGTCGCCCGCTCGATATGTCCCGCTACCTCATAAACACGAACGGCGGCGGCATGTTTCACATCCAATTGATCTCAAAGCCCTGGTTAACTAGAACAGAGGGTCCAGAGGTATGCGAGGCGTTAGTCGGCATACGCTCAGAGTTTCAGGACGACCGAGTGAGCTGCCGCGTCACTACGGATCACAGTACACTTGACTGGTTTTTGTTAAGGAAGAACATCATTAGTCCCTGTTCCCAGAATACTACTTGGCATCATCGACGCGAGTGGTCAGATCGATCTCACGCAGTTCTTCCTGACCAAAGACATGTTCTCTCAGCAGCGATAAAAAAGACCAGCACGTATCCCGTGCTGCTCCTTTCTGTCCATCCGTGGAATGGGGCGTACGAAAAGGAGCTACATGACATGCAAGAGAGAGAAATATTCAGCCCTTCTCAGAGCGTTACATCCAGTGGTCATACTTGTTAATCGACTCAGCGAGCTGCATAAAACACTTCTATTCAAAGCGTTACAGTGATAGCCTTCTATGCCATATATTATATGCCTGAGTGCTTTCGATGCTCTCCAGTCTACTCTACCAGCTTTCCTTGCTTACTTGAACAGTTGACTCAGGAGGTGGAATGGTTTACACTGGCATTGAGGATGTTTAAAATCACTCTAGGATCAGACAGCGGAGCGGATTGGGCAGTCCGGATCCGTAGGCTTGAACGTCATAGATCTAGCCTTCATAGCCCTAGAGAGAACGTATGGATCTTTCAAGCTGAATGGTAGAGGACCTTATGTATTAGATGCCGCATCGCTGAAACCATAGGCTTCGTTATGGGAGCGTTGGTGTGCGACATCGTGGTCGGGGTACGTTTGGTGGCGGGCGGCCGGAAGGTTGGATGATGACTCACAGTCTATAAACAGAGCACCCACTATTTATGGATTGTCGATTAGTATGCTTTGGTACATGTTGAGTCGTGGCGCAGGGTCTAGATTACTTTCAACGGTACTTCGTAGTTAGATCGGCCTTCTCAGATCCTCTCGGGATAGCGCTACATGCTCGGGTTAGTAGCCAAACCTCGCGAGTCTGGGCTTGTTTGGTTCTTCGAGTTAATCAATGAGAAGTATCTCCATGGTATAATAAGAGTGGCATGAAAGAGAAGATTCTATTCTAGAGCTAAGTTTCAACCACCTGACCAAAAGTATCCTGTTGCTAAGACTGTTTCTGGCTCTTGACACTGTTGAGCCCTCGCACTCTTGCTTCTTATACTCTCCTTCTTTGCTGATCCTATTGTGCAGAACTGCCAATATTCCGAGCTCTATTCAGAATGAGCCCATCCTTGTTTATGGGATTCTCTCAACCAGAGCGAACAATATCGTCAGAGAAGCGAAGGCGCTTAGTAGCCGGCGTGCGCGCGGGCGTAGCGATATGCGAGGCAGCAGGCGAGATCAAGTACGACTGCGAGATGCCTTGAGCACCCGGCGTCTGCGGGCCTTGCTGCAACGTGATTCTCTGATTCATGAGAGCCACGGTGTAGTAGTCTCCAGCAATCTCTGCAAGGTAACGAAGAGCGTAGATAGGGCTCTGGAAGGGCTCGGCCCAGTCGACGAAGATGGGGCGACGGAGGTGAGGTGGCAGAGCGGGCTCATAGTCATAGTCATACTGATAGACTGGGTTCCCCATGTTATCGTAGAAGCCTCGCAAGCTGTCCGACGTGGAGTCCTACTTCAAACGCTGGTCGAGCGGCGCCGCGGATGAGTAGATCTTGTCGGGGTTCTTGGATAGTGACATATTGTTAGGGGTGTTTCCTTAAACAAGAGGGGCGGGGGACGGTGGCGGTGAAGTTCTTACCTGGGGGATGCCATCAACTAACAAGGGGCTGAGAGGTCCCTGTAAATGAATGTCAATATTGCGAGAACGGAAAGCTAGGAAGGGAGGTGTTACATTTCGAACCTGGGTGGCAATGGAATGACTGGCCTCATCCTTCTGGTAGTCCTCCTTGGCCTCGAACTCCATGTTCACCGCCTCGATTGAGTCAATGACTACCTCCGACATATCGGGCTGGGCATCCTGCGGCCGAGTATCGTTCTCAGAGAGGCCATTCGAGGTCATGTCGTGGTCCTGGTCAGGAAGGGTGAGGTCCGTGATCGCCTCGTCGGTCAAGAATTCCATCCAAGAATCATCGTTATCCTGGGAGACAGGTCTATATCGAGTGTTAGCTAGCTCTGCATAGGAGACTTAGCCAATGAGACTATATCGCGTACTCTCCAAGCTGGCTATCGTCGCTGACAATGCTGTAGCCAAAGTTGGTTCGGCCAGGTCGGTAAATGGATCCCGGATCCTGTCGGATAATGATGCTCGCCATCGGAATGGCTGATGATGTGGTGAATGCCGCTGCGGGAGTGAGATGGCGGTTTGGTACTTGGGGAGAATTTTCCGAAGGGGCCGGGGGGGGGGGGGAGGTGCGGATGACTGTGGAAGGACCGCAGTTGTCGATGTCATGAGGTGTGTTGGAAGGACCGTCGGTGTAGAGATCGCGTGCCTTCCCGCTGTGTAAGTGGTCTGCTTCACCTACCAGGCCGGACGGATAGTGAGCAGTAGCGGTGACAGCCCCAGCAATTGAATGCCGAGAGAGTGTATACGATGAGTGTGTTCGATTGCTTCCTCAGGTCCTCCACGATGGCGAGCGCGGCAGCGGTCAGTGGCTCTTGACTATCAGAATTTCTGGAGTATTCTATGATGTAATCGACGAATATGATGAGATGGATTAAGCAACGGAGAGGTCGTGATGTTGGAGGTTTGTTGGTTCCTCACTCGGAGTAGTCAAGTCATGCATTCAAATTCAATGATAGATTACTCATGCTCCGTCCATCAATCACCACGTGTTTCCAGGAGTGCTGTCTTTGATTCTCTTGTCTGTCTTGATACTTCCAATTACCATGAGTGAGCTACCTTATTCAGACTTTTTCCACCACCAAGAACTGAAGGTTCCAATGAAGCCCAGCCGCTTCGAGTTCACAACGATGTGCATCATGCTCTTGATCCTCTCAACTTTTGCCCTAGAAAGTTCCAGTCTTTGAGCAACACCTAGGACATCTGCTTTTCCACCACCATTGAGATCAATTCTGACTCTGTGATCTGCCCCCGACAGCAAAATCGCCACAATCGTGTCTGTCACCTCATCCTCATCAAGGTTCGACTTATCGGCTTGGAGATTGTGGCCGTAGCAGACAGATAGGAAAAGTTGCCAAGGTGTCTTCCCGCCGTACAACTCGATGCTCTGGTTCGGTTCAGCTCCATTTTGTAGCAGAAACTCAACCATGTCTCCGACTGGACCTTCTTGAGTAGGTAGTTCAAGAGGTGTCGCCGTCGTTGGTCGCAAAGCATAGTCCAGCAAGGGTCGGCCAGTCTTCTTATGAACCTGATCTAGATCCATGTTGATCTTGTGCTTCGCATGCAAGGATAGTCTCGCTTTTATGGCAGAGGCGAGAAAGTTCTTCTGCCGCTTTTCCTTGAATTTGCCGTTTGGGATATCTCTGAAGTTCGTCCAGTGGACACTCTTGTCTCTGGCATTCAATGTGTTCGTTTGATCCAATGCGTCTAGCCGGTTGAACATATCCTCCAAGGCATCTGATAGATATTGAGGGTTGATATCAGACGTCCCATTGTTGTTGAGATATGCCTGTTGAATCGTGCGAGCCTGGTGCATCAACCCATCAGCGAAGAGAAAGACCTCATTGTAATCGACCGCTCCTTCCGCATAGGACACGGTTTTGATGAGAGCCAGCTTGATGCGACATAGTGAAAGTGCCGCGTTGAAGTGTGGAGTCTTTCTTTTCGCCTTTGTTTCCTCGATTACGTCTCGATCAATGAAGAAGTCTCTCACAGTTCGATGCAAGAAGTCGACTTGGTACTGAAGAAATGGTTTCTTGGCCGGATGAAAGGTGACGTAGAGGAGGTCTTTGCCTCTCGCATTGAGCCGCTTCTTCATTCTGTCATGCAGCTTTTCCACATTTTCGGGCAAAATGGAGGCGAACTTCCTTTGCAACGCATAGCTCGCGCTTTCTTCCTCCTGTTCGAGAAATTGAAAGGCTAAAAGCGGCAGCGCTTGACCGGATTTAATCATGATTTTGAAGATGCAAGACGTGCTTTCCCAGTATATCGGCTCTCTTGACTCGATCATGTGCTGGAAATACTCTTCCAGGTCAGCTGGAAGCTCGTCAACTCGACTCTGCAATTCTCTGAACGTGTCTCCTTTTGCAAGACCGTTCTTCAGAGACTCCACGACAAGGTATATCCACAGGAACACACCCTGAGCTCTGTTGACAATTGTTTCGGCTACTCGAGAGCAGCGGCCATCTTGTTTTGTAAGGGCCGCAAAGTCATCGTTGTTGCACAATGTGTCCGTGACATAGGTGCGGATGTCGTCTCTGGTCAAGTCTTCCATTCGAAGTTGCCATGGCTGGACGCCAAAAGCGTCCAGGAAGGCATCCCATGGGCGGCTCGAAGCACAAATCTTGAAAGAAGGCGAAGATGCTAAGTCTTGCATAACTCGAAGAAGATCCTCAAATGTGTTGTCATACCGCTTTGCTCGATCCGTATACTCATCGAGACCATCGATGAAGAAACAAAATCTCACAGGAAGATCTATCTGAGTAGCGAGTAGTGCAAAAGCGTCTAGAAGCTCCTCCATTCCCCATGATTCCATCAATTCGTGTTGAAGGGCTGATCGGCGCCGACTGCAGACACGGTCGATGAGACTCGGAACCTCCCTCAACACTTCGTACAGTAGTTTCAGGAGCAAGCCACGTTGCGACTTTTGCATGGAGCTACCGGCGTTCCAGAAATAGTGAGATTCTATTACCGTCGTGTAGCCGTTGCCCCAGGCTCCTAATTTCACTCTCGTCGTCGGATGAGTGACGAGAAACTTCATCAAAGTAGACTTGCCACTTCCTGGCTTTCCTCTTATCCAAAAGATCCCCTTCCCTGACTCCAACCATTGGGGAAATAAGGTATCATCATGGCTGAAAACCCAGCCAAACGTCGCTCTGTCTTTCCTTGATTGCTTCCTGCCTCGCCTTGATTTGATCAAATTTCAGACTGCGTAGTATGTTGTGTCTCATTCTCACGTGCTGTTGTTCTTCGTTGAAATCATCGACCTCAGCCCTGAGGAGATCTATCTGGTCTGGAAATCCATTGGGTACAGTCTTCTGTAAGACGTATGTCGTCTTGTCGATTCGCCTGACGATGTCGTCCAGTTTGGCAGTAGCCTTAGCCTCGAGGTTGTTGTTCTGATCTTCTGAAAATAGACTGAATCTCTTTTTGTGCTGTTCTGCATGATTATTGTTAGTCTCGAACATCCTAGCCGCTGATTGCGATCTCTTACCCTGCAGCATGGGTGAGAAATAGTTGTAATTCTCTGCGGAGACTCCCAAGCCTCAACTCCAACTCGTGCCCGTATTTTATGCTCTTTCAACATACGCCTTAGTGTTTGCTCAAAGCTCTGTAACTTCCTTGCGTATAAGTTTTGTCCCGGAGTTGAATCCACCTTCAATGCGTCGAGGATCTCAATCAAGATAGCAGCATCCTCAGTGCATCTCTGGGCAATGAAACGTAGTATCGGACTTTACGTTGTCTTCGTTGTATCTGACTCATTGTTCAGGTTAACACCCGCAAGATGTCTCAGACGCCGGGCATCAGCTATCAACGTCTCATCATGAATAGTTAAGCCATCAGCAGACTTGTACCGCTCCAGGGCGCCGCGAACTAGTTCGGCACCAAGCTCAGAAAATTGGAGCAGATTACCAGCCAGCAACATGTATGCAAGCTCAGCGATGATTGCCCTTTACAAAGCCATGATTGGGAAGGGGCGGAGGGACAAATCTTCGGCGGGAATGCGGCTGATATATCGTGTCAGGCGAGGCAAACAGCCAAGGCTTTCGGGCTGCAGCCTGCCGCCTCTTCCATGTATCGAGAGACAGATCGCAAATACCAGCCAAATCTCCCCCTATATTCCATCATGAGACTCCCAAACTTTGGCTTGCCTCTGTATCTCGTCTGAATTAATCATTTGGTGCATCAACAAGAATGAGCGACGTGGCTTCCTTAAAGTCGCCAAAGCCTTCTTTACAAAATGCTGGAGGTCACCTATGAAAAAAATACGTGACAGCTCGTCCTTGTTCCCTCCTTCTCTATGTATAGGCCATCCCCAATGCCCAAATAGCCCTCTATGCGAAGGCCCAAAGGCAGACCCGGCACCTCGGCGCCGATAACATTCGGGACATTCGAGTTCCAGGGTCCGCAATGGGATAATTAGTGATCTATCTTCAGCTGGTTAGTCTTTTTTTCCAATGGATTAGTATAATGCTGATACGTTAGGCCATGGAAGAGGGCACATTTTTCAACGAGGATCGGAATCTCAGTGGCGAGCTTGAAAGTATTCCCTTCCCAGAAGACCACCGAAGCTGGGTGCGATGGCCTAGTGTGCTCTTCACCAACTTTGTTGTCAAGCCTTTTGGGACATTGTCTTGGGCACTCGGACCCCTCATGAGCTACATCGCCGCAATATGCTTGTTTGCGTGGTGACTTTACTTCATAGCCATTATACTTCCAGGGGACTTCCTTTTCGAGGTCTTCATGGTAGTCCATTTGTTTGGAGCAGCAGTTTCAGCGGTTGTCTGGATGTGGGATGGGGGGATAATTCAACATTATCTCGCTCTTCCAGACACCGCAAATGCTAGTGCCATGTTCGCACTTACACACTTTTGGCTTGTAATACCATGGCTCGGGGAATGGTTTAACAGGCGGATCGAAAAAGTGCGCCAACAACAGCATTCTCGGATGAGGTCCTAGATATTTCTGAACTTCATGTTAGCAAACACGGAGCGCCTTTATTCTGAGCTTTTCACGCATCCAGCTTAACTTTCTATCAGACGTTTGGAACGCATGATGCATCAATTGTTTGCCTTATCTTGAGGCCAACTAATGTACGTCTCTCTACAAGCCGCTGCACTCAAACTTCAGGAGATTCCCTTCCACTATCTTCTTCTCCATCGTTACGAGCGTTGGCATATCCCACATACAGCTTATCCACCTACCTCCCAGCCATTCCCTCTTGACACTAGTAAGGTATGGGATAGAATGGGCAGCAAGCTCTGGGGTATCCCGCATTCGAACTATCCCACAGTCAGACCAAGATCAACACATTTTACAGGTGTGGCCTACTCACATTGCAACCTCTCTGGCAGATTCGAAGACAACTCTGTCGGGATGCCCCCAGGATGAATGGAAAACGCTAAGACGCCCTTTCACACACACTTAGTTCATGATCTCAAACCCGTGGTTGCTTATGATGTTACCTGATCACCGTACTCATCCTGGACAAATTCGGTGAACCTTATCAGCGCAAATTTCGAAATGTGATAGGCTCCTCCGCCGGCACCCATGAAGTGAGCCGCCACCGAAGACATATTGACAATCGTCTTGTCACCGCCCTTGAGCAACAGCGGCAAGAATGCCTTCGTGACGCGATATGTGCCCCAGTAGTTCACATCCCATGCCTTCATGTACTCATCGTCGTCGGCATCAAGCAGCAAGTTGAAGGGAGCCATGTAGCCCGCGTTGTTGACCAGGATATCCAGGCGTCCCCACTCGGCCGTAAGCCGCTCTGCGGCAGCCTTCACACTCGGCGTGCTGCTCACATCCATCTCGAGGGCTAACACCGTTGGCTCTTCTCTCCCAGCAGCCTTTGCGGCCTCGATAATGGAGGTGACGGTAGATGAGACATTCGAGCGAGCGGCGACGGCAATGAGTGATGCGCCTGCCTCGGCGTAGCCGATTGCTAATGCCTTCCCAAGCCCTTTGCTTGCCCCGGTTATTAGGACTGCTTTCCCAGTGCAGTTGGAAGCCGTGGTTGGGTTGATCTCGGGGTATGTGTCGTGGTGGATGACGTCCCCAGTGAAGACGTCGACTGCGATCGATTAGTCTCTGCAAAGGGTTAAACATGGGACGAAGTCTGGGTGCGTACCCTTGCGAGGAGGGCCTGCCGAAGGTTGCTGAGGTTCGGACGCCATTTGTGGAATGATCATCAGCTGAACTGCACTCGACGCATCAATCAATTTGCCCAGTGGTCATATCCAAGGTTTTATTGTCACAAAATCGAGGGTTTGTCGACAAGGAGGTTGAGGTATGGTTTGGCTGTCATCACACGCTAGGATCGCACGCCGGACTTCCCCATTTCATAGCGCCACTGGTGGCGCCGCCTATGAACACTAGTTGTACTGTGTGATACCGCATGCTCACCGGACAATAGCCCTGTCGACTCTCTCAATAAGGTAAAAATCATGTAGACTACAGATACCTTTCAGACCATAGGGTCTCTTTATGAAGCCGCCCAAGCTCGGAAAGGTCGTTCTCTGTCATCCTTCCTCAACGGGAGATCATGTCATCACGAATTCGCCGATTAAGCGCAGGATTATTTGCCTAGGCCAACCTTCTAAACCTTTTCGCATAGGATTCGCGAGGAGGGCAGGGAGTAGACAAAACCAGTTGCGGTGACCACTCGCGAACAGCATTCCATGGATTTGCTGAATACTCAATGCTCAAGTAAGTAGCCAATCAAACTACTATCACGGTATCACCCATCTTCTGCTCCAAGGAAGCTGCATACTAAGGTATTTCAGGTCATGACTAATAAGTCATTCAATTGCGTAACAGTCGTAGACAACAGCTTTCATGCAGTATGTGCTTGCATCCCCTTGCTCAACGCCATGGCAAAATATGTACATGAAGAATTTTGATGGTGCCCATCACATGATTTACTCCAGACCAACGCTAATGGCAGCCAGAGCATAGTCCATGAAGCCAGCGTTTGTGTCCAGAATGTTGGTGTTGAACTCAGCTGAGGTCGGGTAGAAGTTACCAGAGGGGCCAAACTCCAGAGTGTATCCGTAGACCTTGTTGACGCCGGGCTTGGCCCAGAAACGGGAGAAAGAGTAGTCGTCGCTGGCGCCGGACGTGGGGTACAAGCCGACGGCCTGGATAGAGGTGTAGGCACGACCGCCGACAGCCTTCATGGCGTTGACCATGGCCGTACCGACGGTTCTAATGTTGCTGAGATCGGTGGAGGGGATGTACTCTTTGTAAGCGGAGTCGCCGACGGGGCCGCGCTTGCCGTCGTAGGCTGAGTTAAGGAAGTTCATGGTGGAGGTGGTGGTTTGGTCGTCATCGTCACCCCAGCTGTAGAGGAGGTCGCCGACGGCGGAGTGGATGTCCATGAACCAGCGGATCTTGGGGAAGGAGTCGTAGACGGAGACGAGGTTCTTGGTCTCGGGCTCGGACTCGGCGGCAGTGCCGTAGAATACCTCGGAGCTGGGCGAGGTGGAGGCGGGGGCCTCGGAGGAGTCAAAGTATTTCTTGAAGTTCCAGAGGAAGTCAAAATTGCGGTTGATATCGACACCAATGGAGCTGCCGCTGGAGCCGGACTTGGTGTTGCGGTTCTTGCGCCAGAGAGAGCCAGAAGACTGGTCGTAGGCGACACCGTCGGCGTTCACGAGGGGAAAGAAGACGATACCCGCGGCAAGGACACTCTTGACCTGGGCGTTGGTGTAGGACTTCTTGCCATAGGTCAGGCCGCTGCCGGACTTGTTGGCGGCAAGGAGATCGGAGATCCAGTAGATGATGTTGTCGGGTCCACCGCGCTCACGGGCGTGGACGGCGGCACTGAAGTACAGGTGGTACTTTGACTTGTCGGTTCCGGCGCCGACGTAGTAGGCGTACTCGGTGGCACCGTTAAAAGTCTTATATGGCAGAGTAAGAGATCCGATGCCGTAGTTCTTGACAAGGGCGTCGCAGGCCGACTTGATCTCAGCAACGTTCATGATGCTGGAGATGGTGGTGCCCGAAGCCTGGGTTCCAAGGCCGACGGGGGAGATGGTTCCCGCGCTGAAGCGGTCGCCGGTGCCGATGGGTGCGTTGGCTCTCTTGCTCAAGTCTCGTCTGTGAATAGAGACCTCCGGCACGAGCTCGTACTCCTTGGAGAGATAGTCAATCTGCTCCTCGGTGAGCCAGGCGTGGAGCTTGTAGTGGCTTCCATCCTCGCTGGGCTTGGCAACAGCTCTGCAGCCAAAGTCAAGGGTGTCATTGCGAACAATGTCCCTATACTCTGTTAGTGTCTAGGTCGGATGAGGTGATGATAATGTGTTACCTGAAGCTCTCGGGCGAGGGCCCCTGCAGGTACACAGGGAGCAACTCTCCGAGCACAACAGTGCTCTGGAGAATCAGAGACGCGATGAGAGAGTACTTCATGGTGATCGAGACGATGGGAAGCGGAAGGATGCGAAGGATGCAAGAGGAACGGCCCGTCGCCAAGTATGCTTAAGAAGATGGGGATTCGGCCTGCTTTCATAGTCGTTTCCATGATGTCCACAACGGCTGGCTTTGTCTCGGCCAAAACATCTCATTCAAGCAACTGGCTACTCACAAACCAGTTCTCACTCTTGAAATCTACCCCATGTCTCTATGCCCACAAAATTAGCTATCATCGTGGCCAATCATAAGCTTAAATCCCCCGGCCGCGCTTGAGGATCGTTCATGCGACCTGCCCCAACAGGCATAGCGCTCTTCTGATCTTGGTAGGTGGTTCGAATCATTCATATGAGAGCAAACGGCGCCCCGTACATAAAGCGGTAAATGGCCTGAAATACCGCGTTCAAGGAACTTTGTCTAGCACGAATTTACAATGTCACCTTCCTCCACGGCTTCCACGGCTGCGAACAGCGGCGAGTACCGATCGCGTGGACCTCCTCCCGATGTGGGGTGATGACTGCCGGAAGTCGCGACACCAGGTTCGATTTTCCTCATTCTTATTTCTTGGAGTTGATTCTTGCGAACTTCTTAGCTAGTAAGGCACTGCGGGGGTTGCCAGTATTCTTGCTTCCTTCGAATGGCAGAAACAAAAGATCCTCTTAGTCCCCTCACTGCGTTTGCTTCTGGTGTGACGTACGTTTGATGCATGTAAGACGACTGACTAAGAATCGTAAACTCGCGCCATCTTCCCATGTTCCACACAGTTCATTGCCCTCAATAGTGAATGATACAAACAATGAGTCAAATGACCCGGCTACTTGAGAAACCCCCGTGCACAACGAGTACGCAATAGACTAGAATAACTATATTTGCCATTGGTATTACGTCTTGGCACCAGACCGGTCTAAAACTCGAGGCTTCAACCATGCTGTGGTCCTCACTGCTCAAAGCGACCATGTGCTCCATTTGGCCGTCCTTGGAATGGAGAACATGTGGACAGAAACTAGCCAGCGCAATTCCGTCGCTCCTCGATGCTACACTCGACGACCTCAACCACGGCCTGAACAGTGGAATTTTCACCAGCGTCGATCTCGTTAATGCTTACATCGAGCGCATCAAAGAGACTACGCCGACCCTCAATGCCGTCACCGAGATCAACCCGGATGCCGTCTCCATCGCCGAAACTCTGGACCTCATCCGCCGAAAAGGCGGACCGCTTCTCGGCCCTTTGCACGGAATCCCCGTTCTGATCAAGGACAACATTGCAACGGCAGACAAGATGAACAATACGGCCGGCTCTTACGTCCTCCTCGGCGCTAAAGTCTCCGAAGATAGCACCGTCGCCGCCAAGCTCCGGAAAGCGGGGGCGATTCTGCTCGGCAAGGCACACCTGTCGCAGTGGGCCGAATGCCGGAGCTCCAATTCGAGCAACGGGTGGTCAACGTATGGCGGTCAGACCCTGGGCGCGTATTACCCCTTTCAAGACCCATCGGGTTCCTCGGGGGGCAGCGGCGTCGCGTCTTCGGTCGGTCTCGCATGGGCGTCTATGGGGACTGAGACAGCCGGCTCGATTTTGTTGCCCAGTGACGTCAATAACGTTGTGGGCATCAAGCCGACTCTTGGTCTCACCTCGCGGTACCTCGTTGTGCCCATCTCGGAGCACCAAGATGTTGTTGGACCTATCGCTCGGACTGTGAAAGATGCTGCTCATCTCCTGGCAGCCATCGCCGGGGTGGATCCCAGCGATAACTACACGTCCACATTTCCTTTCCCGAAGACACCAGACTACGCCGCGGCATGTGTAAAAGGGGGACTGCTAGGCAAGAGATTGGGAATTCCGCGACATGTGCTAGACGATCCTCAAGACGCCCCTCCCTCCAACTACTCGGTGATGGTATTCGACTCGGCCGTTGACATTCTCAGGTCCGCTGGTGCGCAAATCATAGACGACATTGTTTTGCCAGGCTACAACATGACCGAAATCTCCGCGCTCCTGACCAAGGGCCTTCACGCAGATTTCGCCGTTGCTATAGAAAAGTACTTCGGCCAGTTGGCGTACAACCCGTATAACATCACCACGCTCCGTGAGCTCCGAGATTGGACCCAGCATGACCCTCGCGAGCAATGGCCTGAGAAGAACACACTCTCATGGGACAACAACCTAGCAGAAGGTCTGCGTAACACAGATCCGGAATTTTGGGATGTTCACCTCCGGCTTCTATACCTGAGTGGTCCCCAAGGATACACAGGAGCTCTCAAGAACCATTCCCTGGACGCGATAGTACTGCCGACGGCGTTTGCTGTGATGAATGCTGCCATATCCGGTACGCCGGTGATATCGGTACCATTTGGAAGGCATCCGGATGATACTGACATTGTCAAAGACAAGACTGGAACGCTCAATGCCGTGGCGCCGAATTTACCTTTTGGTATCGGTTTTGCGGGGGCTCCGTTCAGTGAGGAAACGCTGATTAGCATCGCGTACGCCTTTGAGCAGAAGGTTCAGGCTCGGGAGGTCATCAAGCCCTACATCAAACCCAAGACCGACTTAGAGGACATAGTTAAACGCAGAGCCGAGGTGGAAAGCAGACTCGAATTGTGACATGAAAGTCGTGTTTCAAGACAGACTCGCAGTCAACGAAGACGCCAAGTTGAGTCCTAGGGTTGGTGTGTGCAAAGTAGCTACCATTGCACAGCATTCAACAACCGCCATGACAGCATGACTTCTCACCATTGCGTCTTCAGATAGGCAAGCCACAATCACATCACTGATCGACTTTCGGGACTTTCCCGGAACCCCGCGCACCGATTTACGGCGGCGGGTACCTAACCGGCCCTGAATGCAGGCCCTCCGGGTCGGATTCCGATCGCATCACAGTGGTTCCCCGCACTCCGAGAAAGCCCCGAGACCTTGTCGGCAGCGCACCCGATCTGAGATACAGATGTCTTATATCAATGAGCTTCAATCAGACAGTGAAAAAAAAACGAAATTTCTTGATTCAACTTACAACCTAAAAACAAATCAAAAGTGAGTTGGGCTGTGTATCACTGGATGCCCAAGAATACATGTAACTGACCTGTGTCTTATCAGTGTCTGGAAACCTAGTCCCCCTCACCGTTATCAAGGGCGCCGGCCACGAGTATATCCCCCTCCCGGAGGGCGAGAACGCGACTGTCGCCGATTTTCACTCGTAAGAAACCTTTTATGCATGAAGTGGTAAATAAATGCTAAAACCTTGCTAGAATCCGAACAAACACAAAGGACTCACCTGCTCACTTCACCTCGGGTTTCTACAAGATTGTCGCAGGACCCGCTCGTCCCGCGCACTACAACTTTGAGGAGACCAAGTACGTCCTTAACGGTCAGATCGACATCTTGGTGAGTCACTTCGTAACCGTGTAAAGCTCTGGGGCACAAGAGATAGGGAGCTGACTAGCGTGGCTTTAACAGGATGAGGCTACTGGGATCACCCACCATCTAGTACCCGGAGATTTTGCTTTCTTCCACGTTGGATCCAAGGTTAAGGTAAGTTTATATTCCCTATGTGTATAAATTCCAAGCTCACGATCTATTCTCCCACTCTAGTTCTCTACCAAGTCAGAAGGCCTTGCTTTCTACGCCGTTACGCGGCCCGTCAGAGTTCCCCACCCGAACCTGAAGGGCCGTGAGGAGGACGCAAAGTCCAAGTTGTAAATCATTAGAAAAAGTAAAACTAGCAAGCAAACTTGAATTATAGACAAATTTGGCTTTCAACCCTCTTACTGTTTCACTCAGAGGATCTGCGGGGCACCTTTCGTAACCTTAAAGCCGCCAGGGGAAAGTTCCTGAAAAACGCCGTTTGGATCATACTTCTCAGCAATTAACCTCAAGCGTTCCTTGTTGGCCTGCCCATATCCAGCAAACGGATCCTGGGATTGGCTGGCGTAGTTCGTGTATTTGTATCCCGAAGCAAGGCCCATCTCATCCGCCACCTTGTTGATTCTCTCTTCCGTACGTTGCTGGGCCTTGTAGATGACATCATCATCTTTTGCGTTCTCCCACCTTGCCCATAGGTTCACAAAGCCAAGAGGCTGCGACTGTTTCCCGAGCCCGTGGGGATTACCTCCGTTTTGTTACATCAACTCGAGCTGGGATTTGGTGATGGCCTGGAGCTGGATCTGCTGGATGGAAATGGAAGCGAGTGCACTAGCTTCCTCATTCCAGATCTCGAATACTACTTGCAGCAAGTCAGCGTCAAGGATGAAGGACGTGGTCCACAAGGAACTCCGCAAGATGCTGGCGGGGAACAGGAGGTTCTCGGCAATATCTGAATGGGGGACATTGGCCGGTTCGATAGCAGTTGGTTTGGCGTCATAGAACTTGTCGACAACGGGAGGGTGGGTGTTATTGTCAAACGTCTTCTGATGGACTAGAATCGCGACGCCAACGGGAGAGCCGCTCGCTTGTGCGTTCCACGACAAAACTGCTGCGTTGCTCACATCTTTGGAAGACTGAACTGTACCCCAGTCCGCGAAAGCTGCGTTGGCCGTGACGTTCTCCGTGGCATTGTAACGGAGCTTGGCGTACCACATCCTGTCCTGCGGGAAAGTGTTGAACTTGAACTTGGTGACAATACCAAAATTACTGCTGCCTCCTCGAAGGGCCCAGTAAAGGTCAGGGTTTGATGTTGTGGACGCAGTCACAATCTCACTACTGGCCAAGACGGCCTCGAACTCGATAACATTGTCACAAGTCCATCCGTAGCGGTTACTGAGCCAAGAGACTCCACCTAAGTCCTTATGAGCAAGGTGCTCAAAAACATTCGGCCAAACAAAGGCTTGGATGCGGAAGTTGACTCACCACCGAGAGTGAGTCCACCGACACCTACACCAAACATCCGACCGCCAGGGATGGTCATCCCGGACTTTTGGAGATTCTCATATGTGGAAGCCCAAGTGTTTCCGGGCTCTATGATCGCCGAGCTCTTGTCTTCGCTCAGTGTGATTCCGTCAAACCGAACCAGATCAATCACGAGACCTCCCTCAATCGTCGAGGCTATGTATGAGTAGTGGCCTCCGCTTTTGACTGCAAACTGACAGCGTGTACTCTGAACATCTTGAAGGGCGACTGAAACCTCGGTGGCACTGACGGGCTGAAAGAAGCAGTAGGGAGATACGTCGCCTTGAATGGTCGACCAGAAGCCTTCCCGGGACGCCACAAAGTCTGTGCCGTTGGTTGCACCGAGGTAGACCTGGTTGGGGAACTTCGTGGCGAGAGTTTCACACTGTCACTTCGGTCAGTATATACTCTCTGTTCAAAGAACCCTTGAGGAGATTGACATACTGTGACGGCGCAACCGGTGTAGCTGCCGGTAGCATCCGGAGAGCTGGCGGCTAAACTAGACGCTGCTACAACAAGGAAGAACGAAAAGAAATGCGGTGATGGAGACATGGTTAGCGCCTTGATATGGTGCTGTCACAATGGTTGATCAAGTCTGCTACATTAACTCGCAGGTTGAAGGAAGCCTGCCATCTTTGTACTGCCTGTACCCCTTCCATGACAAGCGATCACTCCGGACTTTGCGTAAGCGAGAGTGCGGCGTTCTAGCATGAAATCCGGAGTTCTATTCGGGCTTGTCGGGACGGGATGTGAATTGTTGAGCCTAGTTAAGGTTTGCCAAGTTAATATCTTTAGAGTCTTAAATCCAAGCTAAGCGCTTCGGCTAGGCTCGTTTTCCGCCGTCGAAAGTTCCCAAGGAGAACTGCCATTGGCCAACACGCTGACGGTACCATCTTACGATTAGGTGGTTCTATTGCCAGGGACAAAGTTTGACAGTTATATGCTGAAAATTGAAGCTTAGAGGCTCCATCTTGTTGGTCGCGTATTCGGTTTACGTCAAGAGTCACGGGGCATCTCGCAAAGTCGGCGGATTCCGTAGTCTGTCGTGGTCCTTCGAAACGCTGAACTCATCTGGGGTCTTGTTCCATGATAATAAGAGGCTTGAGCCTTAGCGGTCTTCTCGTCCTTTAACACGATGTCTACATAACTACCACCAAGTTTGAACGAGAGGTCCATCTCTTTGAAAGATGACATCTCGGTATTTAAGAAGCTTGAAAATTAGGACTTTCGTTCAGTTAAACTAATCGTACGTAGGGCAGCTTGGACGCAATGGTGTCGAACTAACTAATGCTGTGGAGGTGAACAGCGGTGCACCTAGTAATCCCAGAATATGAAGGCCAAGTATTCTGGTTTCGGAACATAGGTAGGGAGAGCAGATCAACCCATAGTAGAATCATGCTGTTCACTGACGGAGAGCGCGGCCACTGACGGAGAGCGCGGACATGCGGTGAAGGGGGCTTTCCGTGTCCCCACCACGGGGATTAGAGCGGCATGGAGCCCGAACATTACCCCGCGTGGATTTGGTTCCTGCATTCGGTTAACTTTAGCGGCCTGCTATAATTGTCGACTACCTCTAGGAGTTGAAGGCGGATCAGTCCGTTTCTGAGACTTCATGATATTACCCGCCACATAATTGGCTGCTCTTGTGGTTCTCTGACTTACGCGTGCCGGGTGAACTGACAATTCCTATGTTAAATAGATGGCATGCAAAACATCTAAGAAAGGGTCGATTATAGTGATAATCAACATTCCCGATACAACACCGTGTTTTACCTAAGATCTGAAGAGTTTCGTTTAACATCATTATACTATATCGAGAATGAAGTGGTTCAAGCCCCTACTTCGTCACGAAGACTACTGCGTTGGCTCTTTATGCAACATTAGAAAACTAGTTTGAAGAACTTATCTAACTACACTGGGTACTATAGTTAGCAATGATAGGTCGAGCTATACTTTCAAGCCTTGGCTTTCTTATCGGCCTTGGCTATCTCTTCCCTGAGAGTGCGATAGATGGCCACCGACTTTCCGTCGAGAACTTCCTGAAGGAAGGCCTCGAAAGTAAGGGCCTGAAAGTCAGGGTACAGCTTAGGGCCGTCAATATACCCGAGAAACTCGGCATACTCTGGGGTGTTGTCTCCACGGACTCCCATGGAGTACCAGTACTCGTAGAAGATCTTCATCCTGTGATCAAAAGCACTTTCCTCGATTGCGCCCGCCGTCAAAGACTCAGCAGCCATGGCGGTTTCCATAGCTTCGGCTGACATCTATGAAGAAGGCAGATTAGCCAAGTGTCAAATGATTGGGTCTCCGGCTTAAGAATACTCACATAATCGCGTTTGGTGGTCTCGCCACTCATCCTGTCCAACATATCGAAGATCTGATTTTGAGAGACAATGTCGCCATAGACGAGAACCATTTTATTGATGGTGCGGGGATCAGCGATGATACGCGCTGTGAACCTTCCAACATCTCTCACATCTGTCAGCGCAGAAAGGGTGTTGCCATCGCCAGCTATGAAGTTGATCGGCAAAGGGGTAGCCGAGTCAATGCGCCCAGACGGGAGGCGCGGAATGCTGAGCTGGTACCACCAGCCGACATCAATGACTGTATAGGGAAGGCAAATCTTCTTCGCGTGAAGAAGAGCCTCCTCCTTCTATGCCACCGATCACAGGTTAGCATAAATGCCGTGGATCTGCACATGCAGCCTGCCAGGAACTTCTTACTAGCTGGCGCAACGTCAATACACCTTTGGCTGGAGCAACGGTGGCGAAGAAGCAAGGAACGAATCGCTTTACGCCTGCGGCCTTGGCGGCGTCGGCAAGGGGAATCTGGCTGGCAAGCGCACTGACGTGGATGGTCGAGATTAGGACATCGACGCCCTTCAGAACATCAACGAGTTCAGCCCTTGGCCCCTCAAGATCAACTACGGCGACGGCAACTCCTCTCTTCTCAAGCGCGACAACGTCAGGCTTTCTTTCAGAGGCAGGGCGAACAATGGCGAAAATTTTCTGGCACCACTGATGGTTAGTCTCCTAGATAGGATGAACAATAAAATTTAGAAAGAACGGTACCAAGGCTGGAATGTCAGATTCGAGAAGAGCGTTGACAATGATGCTGCCCGTCTCTCCTGTCCCGCCGACAAGAGCCACCTTCATGTTGGCTTTGCTGTATGAGCTAGAGACCAATGACGATTTACAAGAGTTGTAGATGTCAAAAAGCCATACTTCGGTCGAATAAGATAATGACCGCATTGAACCTGCTCATTCTTTATACCTACTAGGTAGGCGGAGTTTGCACACAAACTGAGTAGAACTGAACTTAAATCTACTCAAAGTCCGCAACTGACGTACCAAGTTGAATGCTCACTCTCGAATCTCATGCAGTGATAGCGGGTTTAGTTTACTTGGCACTGACTTCGCAACAGACACAACCGCCACAACTGGTGCCCGAGTAGGAAGTCCGCATCTGATTTATAAGAATGTGCGGAGCGGGTCCCTTTTGCGACGGATTGTGACAGGTAATGCCCATGACTTTATCCTTTTCGAGGCTAGACGGATCTATATTGGCCATGAATTCTAATTCTCACTTTTGGAAGCCACTTTCACGAGTAAAACAGCGGTACTTGCATCTCCTCATGTTGCGGTCTGGCTTCGGCTTGTTGGGGTGAGAGAAGCATACAGCAGTCGCGAACCGATCGGGAAAGAGATCAAAGACTGTTTCACACTTCAGGGCACATGAAACTTACTCTGGGTATTGGGATTATCCGGTTTATTGTGATAGTCGCATTATTGAGGATCGGCTTGACCCAGTTTCCTGAAAGTTCGTACCAGTAAGCACCCGACCACAACGCAACTCTCATGTCACTGGGGGCTCTATGGAAACTTCAACGTCTCCTACTTGTTTCGCCAACTGTTATGTACTACTCTCTGCTCAAAACATCCATCTTTTTGTCGAGGCAATCTTTCAAGAGTTGTATACCTGAATGTAGTATACATAGGTGCAGGAACTGAAGCATCTGGCAAATTATCTTCTCCAAAGTTCATGCTTCACCTTAAATCTCACTGTGGAGAGACTCCTAGTTCAAGCAAAGCTTACAAATTCGCATGGAGGAAATGCCTTGGCTACCAAGTACAAGAGGCAATGCTGTGTGTGAAAGAGTCGATATGACATACATTAGTCAAATACAAGGCGATCTCTCTCCCACAGTGCTGTTGCCGACGCCCTCATTGACCTGCTTCTTTGGGTAAGATCAAGCGGCCCCCAAAAGTAGGCATACTATCGACGGTCGAGGCCGTGAGGGTCTCAGGGGCCACTCCCTTCTCGACCCCGCTTGAGCATAGTATTGAATGTGCCAGCGAGATAAGCCCTTTCCAGCCTAAAGAGAAGTTTCTGTGGGTGACAGGGACAAGAAGGAAGAAGATTGGAGCACTTAAATTCTGCTACGACTGAGTAGTGATAGCGATTGCTTCCGCGGACAGAGATCAATGTGTCGGTCTGGGCACAACTAGCACGTCAAATTGCACATTCCAGCGAGGAACTGACCGTGCTATGATATCCATCCAGCTCTGCACCCTGAATGCGAAACCAGGAAAGGTCTAGGTTGTTTGTCTTACGTGGAATCTAGATCTAGGCTGACAAATGGGCCAAGTCGTCGAGTTCAATGTACAACATGTTTACCATCGTGGTGCTAAAGTCCTGCAGAGGGAAAGGCTTGACTTAGTCGCCCGAGACCCCATCCCGATGACTTGAAGGCTAAATGTCGCCTTGTTTGTCAGTCCAACTTCCCGTCAGGTTTGGGGTCACGTATCGACTAGCAAGGATTGTCGCATGAAAGCTCGATCGGCGGCTTTCACGTCGGACGTCCGCATTTGGTAAATCTTAGGAGGCACGGTCGGCCTCCCCAGATCGTACAAGCCTCTCCACATCCTTGTATTGCTCCGATGTCTACGACAACAATTTTCCCCAGACCTGCACCCCGCAACTCCCCCAGATACCCCAGATGGGATTTCCATAAATTGGAACCATGATCCGCTTCCAACTGTCAGGTCTGAGTTCTTCAGGCGACCATATATCATCTCTTTTTCTTGTGGTCTAAGCTTGTCTCTCTTCTTTCATCCCTCCCTTACCGTACGCCACTGCTTTCGAAACACCCGTTATCCTGGCAAAACTTCCAGTTTTCATACTTCAAAATGTTACTACGAACCACCTGGGTACACCACAAATGGGCAATCTTCTATTGCGCTGTATCAGCTATCGGAGCCCTCTGCTATGGATATGACAATACATACTACAACGGTGTATTGGCCATGCAAGAATTCAAGGATGACTACGGAGACGTTCGTGATGCCACCGGCAGGCTCGCTCTATCTTCGTCCTTTCAGTCTCTCACAGCTTCTGCTATCTACATTGGCGACTTGTTAGGCGCAATGATTGCTGCTCCCCTTAATGATCGCTACGGCCGAAAGTCCACGTTCTGGCTGGCTTCATTCTGCATATTCATCGGTGGCATTTGTCAAGTCGCAGACACAATCAGCTCAGAAGCCCTTCTTGTGGTCGGACGCATCTTGATTGGCCTTGGAGTGGGCCAGTTCACTGTCACTTCATTGCTGTACATCGGCGAAGTTGCACCCTTGGGCATCCGAGGGCCAGCACTCATGTGCTTCCAATTTCTCCAATCCTGGTCTCAGCTATGCGCGTCCGCGATTAACCAAGGCACTAAGAGCATCACAAGCTCTTTGGGATACCGTATTCCTATGGGAGGCCTTGTCATCCTTCCTCTGATCATGGCCGCCCTTCTTCCCTTCATCCCGGAGAGCCCGCTGTGGTACGTTCTCAAAAGCCGTCGTACAGAGGCCGAGCAAAGTTTTCGCAAGATCAATCAAAGCAACCCGAACTACGACCCGTCAGAGGATATGGCTACAGCTGAAAATGCCAAGAATATCGAAGAGGGGCATGCCGAGTTCTCTTCATGGGGAGCTCTGATAACGGATCCCATCGAAAGACGCAAGTTGATCTACTCGGCTGGAGCAATGTTCAGTCAACAGATCTGCGGCATTCTGTTCTTCTACGTTTATGGTGTTGTATTCGTACAGGCAATTGGGTTGGGCGACCCTTTTCTCGTCCAACTGATTACCAACATTGTTCAAATCTTTGCTGTGGGCGCCTCCATAATCACTGTCAACAAAGTGCGCCGCCGTACCAATCTCATGATTACCAACTTCATGATGCTGGTGGCCTTCATCATTATCGGCGGCGTGGCGGTCAAGCCGCTCACTTCTTCGACACAATACGTCATTGTAGTGTTCTCCTTTGTCGTCGTGGTTGGCTTCAACTTCGGCCTTGGCCCCCTTGCGTACACCGTCGCTCGGGAAATGGCAGTCGGTCCCAACCAGAACAAGATCATGTCCGCGAGTATCGTCATATTTTACCTGACGACATGGGTGGTCTCGTTCACCGCGCCCTATCTATACTACGATGCGGGACTGGGTCCAATGGTGGGCTTCGTATACGCGGGTACGACGTGTCTCTCTATACTGTGGACATGGTTTTGTGTGGGCGAAACCGCAGGCAGATCAAGTTTGGAGATTTCGAGATTTTTCACTGAGAGGGTACCTGTCAGGGCTTGGAGGAGTCATGTATTCTCGGAAAGCGAATCATTGGAAGGAATGAGCTCAGAAGGCAAAGGCAAGGGTTTGCCGAATGCCCCGTCAAGGGTAGAGCACCAGGAATTTGCTGTATAAATGTAGTAGCAACATCTGTAGCGGCAGCTTTGGCACCATTCGCGCACCAGCGCAGTAATATTGATGCTAATTTGTCGGTTTACTGATTTGAGTCATGGTTGGTGATGTTGCTTCCGTGCTACCCAGATCATGATGACCCGATAAACGTAAGTAAGTTACGAAACCAAGTAGCACCCGAATCTCTCAAGCTTCGCTGGCAAACAATTTTTGACTGGCTAAGCCCCTCACAAAAGCCGCCACCCCACATCTTGTGATTGGAAATGGAAGGCAACAGAAGTGACGTGGTGCCACCGCCCGCTTCGTACTGCGGAGGAGACTGGCATCTTCTTTGGCTGGTTGCCCTCTTGGCTCGGTTTCGGGAAATCTAGACATCTGGAGTGAACGGACTTGGGACGGACTTCCTCAATGGGAATGGCCGCCCGACATTAGCTCGATCGGGGTGCCTGATGAGAGCTGACCGCCAACCGTCTCCTTCGACCTGACGAATGTCGGCGTGTCATCTTTTATGGCTTAGAGACGTTGTTCTGTAAGAAACAAAAAAATATGCAGGATTGACGGGGTTTCCTATTTCGTGCATGTACGTAGGATGGAGATACTCTTTGTAAGTGGTGTTTGAGGCACTAAAAAGCTCAGATATAAATCATAGCCAAGGTAGACTGAAAATATAAGAGTGATTCATCACGCAGTGAAACCAGTATCTAAAAATCATGTCATCGAGCTTTCAAACCTCCAATTAGCCTGAAGAAAGATTCAACATGTTGCTGTTACTCTGTGAGCAACACCCGTGGGCCGTTGCGTTTATCTTGTTAACATTCTAAGCAGCCATTCCTGCTGTGATCCTTTGGATGATTATCGGCGGACCAATAACAAACTACCTTGTCGACAGGAAAGGCCTTCGAATGTTTCCTAGCCCTGGCGTTGCCGGTATCTCATCCTTGTGGCGCATCTTCCACTGCCTGAGATATCGGCACTTCATGGCGGTGCATGAAGCTCACGAAACACTGGGTACGCACGTCCGTATTGCTCCGAACTACGTCTCCATCTCAGATCCTCGCGCTGTCTATGATATCTACGGCCACGGTGCCAACTTTCTCAAGGATGCTTGGTACGATGGAGGGGCCGGAGAGTTCCGTCATATGGCGGACGAAAGAATCAAGACCGAGCATCAGAGAAAGCGCAAATTACTTGCCCATGTCTTTGCGCAAAAGTCCTTATCGGAACAAGAGCCCGTCATTGCTGAGACGATCCGCACTTTGATGGCACAACTCAGAAAGCATGCGCAAGATGAGAGGCCAATTAATATGCGCCGGTATTTCAACTACTTTACCATCGATGCTTTTTCGACAATGCTCTATGGTAGATCACTCAATTGCCTGGAGCGTGGCAGCGACATAGTCAACGCCGAAACTCCGGATGGGAAGGTCTATCAAGTTCCCTTCATTCAGTCTTTGCTAGACGCCACTCACATCAACACCGTTCTTGGAATGGAAGCCAGTCTATTGCACTTGACCAGAAAACTCTTCTCTTGGCATCCGTACAAGAAAGCTGGCGCGGACTTTGATAATATCATCCAGTACTGCACCAAGGCGCGTTTCACGTCTAAAGACAAGGATGGGGACATATTCCAAAAGTTGATGGCGAAGAATAATGGTGAGCCGGTTAACTTGCCCTTTGGCGAGCTTTTGGCGGAATGCTCGGTCATGATGAATGCCGGCACGGAAACAACCACGGCTGCCCTCACAAACGCTGTATACCTCATCTACACCCACCCGGACGTACTCGAGAAACTTCGAGAAGAATTGGATCCTATTGTTGTGCAGAATACCGTACCCAGTTACGATGCCATCGGGCAGTTGCCGTTTCTCAAAGCCTGCGTTGAGGAATCCCTCCGCGTTCGACCGGCGAGCTCTATGGGATTGCCTAGGGTTGTGCCAGAGGGCGGTCGGGTGATCGCGGGGCGGTTCGTGAGCGAGGGCGTCACTGTATCAGTCCCAACCTACACTCTACTGCGGGATGTCGAGACTTTCAAGGATGCTGAGACATTCCGACCTCAGCGCTGGATTGATGGAGACAAGGAAAAGATGCTCAAGGTCCACCTTCCATTCAGTACGGGACCTCGAGCATGTATTGGCAGAAATATTGCCTACTTTGAGGAGCTCATGCTCATATCATCTTTGGTACGGAACTTCGATTTTGACTTGGCTTCACCAGGCTGTGAATTCAGGGCCTTGGAGCGATTCAACTCCAACCCAGACGAGCTTTTCCTTTTTTGCCGACTTCGTGATATCTAAGGTAGCCCATACTATAGATTGCCACCCTCTTAGCAACACTTATTTGATCACTCGCAATTCATACCGATCAAGTCTCTTTGTTGGCCGAAGGCTCGAGCCGAGTCGTCGAAATGTCACAAATATGTCAACCCCAATCTGCCTTCTTATTCCTCCTCTGCAGTAGCTGCGGCCGGGTCATAGAGCACATACAGGCTTTTCTAAGAAAATAAAAATAGAAATCCAAACATGGGAGAAAAAGAAGGCCCCTGCGAAGCCAGAACATGTACTGCCAAGCCGAATTCCTGTTCGTTTCGGGGTCCATGAACCACGAGATGCGTCCAGTCATCCAAATATGATTTCGGCCTCGGCCTGAGTCGTGTTGATGTTCCGCATCTCAGCCTCGGGGCTGTGCCCCTTGCCGTCCATCAGCTTGTCGAAGGAGGAAAGAAAGACTCAGGGCCGTGCGGAGCTTCCAAAGTTGGTGAAATTACGCGCGTGCGAAGTTTATCTGGAAGAGAATTTTGTGTGAATAGCTGTGAGACAGCCGTTGAGAGTGTTTAGTCCCATTGTACTGAACTCGTTGGGAAAGCCGGAAAGGCAAGTACAGAAGTACGAGACACTGAGATTGACGCTCAGGACCATCGACTCTATGCTGCAAAAATTGCAGCAAAACCCTCGGGAACAAACTTGTGTTCTCACCTGGCCTATACTAGCCGGCGCCGCAGATGTGGCGCTTCTGCCGCCTGCCGGGATTGTCCGGGGAGCGGCACACGAAGGCACCGAAGATAAGGCAAGTTGAGTTTCGCAAACGCTATTATGTTCACCCAATATAAGCTCCACGCCGCGCTTGCGTTTCCACTGCTTAGGGGCTGTCATTCATTATTCCTACGAGACGATCAGCAGCAACAGCCGCGACAGATGCTCTCGCAGGTAATATACTGTCCTTCTCTCGGATGCGACCACAATGCCTCAAAGATCGCATGATGTAGGCCATGTGCCGCGCGCCTTAAACATCATCGCTAGATGGCACCATCTCCAATTTTCGACTATCCAATTCCACTATGGCTCTCCGAGTTGAGTTGAGCATCATTTCATTCTATTATCTACATAAGGTAGATAGATTAAATGCTATTGGCCCCCAACAAAAGCTACTCTAACCCATCTCATGGTCTCTACTCTTCTCTCTGGAGTTCTCGCTAGGGCATGAAATTGGAAATCAGCATAGACCAGTATGTAGCCTATCAAAGTGGCTTCATTTCTTGCCAACTGTTCGCCTCAGTCATTTATCAGGTCGTCTATTTTGTGGATGGAGATCCAAAGAGCTCCCCTTGCCTTGGTGAGTCTCGGAAAATCATGGTGTGGTTGATTCTGAAATAACATCGGTGTTTAGGACGAAGGTTTTCAAAGTGCAAAGCAACCGCCCCTTAATTATCAAGAGCACGTTGCTCGTTTCATCAGGAAAGCAGCTGGAAATCGTAGGAAGGTCGTTGCGGATCATCGGTCTGTATTCACTTTACTTTCATTGATTATCGCCAAGATCAAACATGATTTGAGTATTCGAAACCACACAGCTCGAACTTGGATGTGGCCTCAAGTAAAAATCTCATGAGTCGTGTTCCTGCGTGGACGAAGCTGAGAAGCTGCCTTGTCTTGGTATTTCCCTCTGAACGCTTGTAGCATGGTCCTCGACGCAGACCGTTTGTGGCTTTGGAACTCTGCTCTCTGCCAAGAGAACTCACACTCCGCGCGCCCGCCAAGTAGCAGAGGGTAAAGCTTGCGTAGCATCACGATTGTCTCGTAGTCGGGATGCTCTATAATTGGACCCTGAATCTAGTGACGGCAACTCAAGCCCGGACTGAGGGTGAAATTCCATTAATCGACCTTACAGCGCCGTCTACACTTTTTCACCTCTATTATCTGATCCGAACTTTCCGTGGCAGCAAACGATGCCGATCACGACCACGAGGGCAGATAAGTGCAGGAGGTTGCGTTTATCGTTGAAGCGCGTAAGCCCCGCCATTTAGAACTCTAAAATGTGTGCCTACCAGGAGGCCCCTAGTTCAATGTCAGTTTGTTTCGAGGCGCACCGGCCGGTCGTTGATCGACACTACCGATAAGCCAGCCCGCGTCGAACTTCCCGCTTGGCCTCTGCCAGAGTAGCTTTTGGCCGTTGGCATTCGTCCCGTTCTTGGACTTGTAGATCCCTCAAAACCAAGGTTTGCAGGCGTGGCTACAGCAGCAGTCGCACTACGGCCGGACCATTGACGGAACTGCGTGTGCCGGGAGGGTCTGCAGGAAACGAGCCAGGAGAGTTTTTTCTCCGATCTTGACTGTCGATCCGGAGGGACCCGTGGCTGGCTTGCTAGCGCGTCACCACACCACCGCGGGGTATATTGCGATCTTATGGTTCGTAGATCACTAAACAGTCAGTCGAATCCAGGTCCATGGGCGGAGCTTCAGCTGCCAAGAATGCGATTCCAACCTCAATTAGAACAACACTCTTTGGTATTACGGCAAGGGTAAGATCACCAACAACCTTCGTCGACGATCCGGGCCAGCCGTGAGTTGATGGACTTCCCAGGCTTTTACGGTTCGACGACTTTAAGGTCTCTTTTACCGGTCGCGCGTGGAATGAATGGGATCCTCTCTCTAGACCACAATGCCGAAGTCTCCCACTGGCACGATACGTCTCAGACGATGTAACGGCGGCAGCACCCGTGCTTGCAGCGATGGTGCGGTTCACTTCAAACGCGAAGAAACTCCAAAGGAATCCTGTCGCGACACTGCGACGAAACACTCCAGTTTACCAAGCTTATTTCTCCTTTCCGCCTTCCCAGCTAGGCCTTAGACGACCGGATGTTGATCATTCAATAGCCTTGTTCATCAAGTATGCTCTCCTCATGCGTGTCGCAGGTTGTGACCAATCACCGATAGCGGCTTGGCAAGAAGTTATTGTCACCGCCGCAAAGGCTAAGCTTCCGTTTTGGCGGTATGGTTAAGCCCTGCCCATCCCGCCGTCTCGAATGCGAAACCGATCAAGATGGCCAATCCTGTGTCACGGATTCGATCAATACTGGCGAGCCCGAGTCGGCCGCTTAGGATCAGATGGAAACAACTTTTGGAAGACATGATGATGGATCGCAAAGCTTCAAATTAGGCGTGAATAAACGCGGGTTTTGAATTTTACGCAGCCCTTGCCAAGTGAAGCATGACCGGCTGGCTGTTGACGACCTATGTACAAATTCTACACATATAAATTTCCGTTTCCCTCCACCTCTCCTGCGTTAAAATCGTTTTCATCGTGCACTTACAAACCACTCAGATACAACAATAGTCCATTGCTGCTGTTCATCATATTCAATAGTACGTTAACTCCTAGCTTCTCACAGTCCAGTGCTGACACGAATTCAGTGAACTTCAACTTCCTGGTCTGGTTTTTCCTTTTGGGCGCCACCAGTGTCTACGCGAGCACTTGTACTGTCGAACCACGCTCGAACTTTGACAGTCGTTTCGATTCAAGCTTCGCAAAGCAAGCACGGCAGCAGTGCCGCAACGCCGGCGGAAATTCCAAAGGAGGCAACTCTGTGCGGCAAGTCTGCGATTTCCGTGGCGATCCGCCCAGATCTCTTCAGCGGACGTCTCGCATTCAAGTTTCCTCGAACGGTCGTAGCACCAATGTGAATGTCAGGTGGAATTGCAGACGTTGATATTGGTAAAACAACGCCATGGCACGGGCTTGCCTCTCGAGAGAGCGAAAGGGTTGTCAGATAGGCATGCTGGGATCGCGTGCTTGACTGTGTTCACATATTCTGAGAAGGTGACAGTGCAACTTCAGGATCAATTTCTCGTTTTTTAAATTGATGGCGGTGCATACCGGGTTTTCGCCTTTTTTGTCCCTCGTCTAGATTTTACAGACTACATAACATTGTGACTCTAACATGCCGAAATGTAATCTTTTCCAGTTTGTTTACATCGGCCCACTACTAGTGCGACAGCTTCGCTTCATGTCAAGTATCAATCGTAAAAGCTGAGATGACGATTTGAGGAGACTCTCGTCACCTTTCAATATACATATCTGGCCTATGTCCGGACGGGGTAGGCATCGACTTCGTGAACAAAATGACATCGTGAGGTAGCTACAGACACTAACACAGACTTCTTAGAAGAAGTTTGATTCTCGAAGTTTATGCACATAGCTTGAGTCTTAGCTTGAGTCCTCGATAACTATTTGTAAAACGAAATGAATAATCGCCGATATGGCGAACGACAAGAATAGTGAGCATATATCTAACTCAGTGCGACTCACTTATTAGATTGAATGCCATCTTGTTTGCTACCAAACTTTGAATCGTTATGTGGTTCTGGTGGCATGTGTAACATCTCTCAAGCCTGTAACCCCTTATCCAGATTGGCCCAAATTGTCACCAAAGTCTATTCCGACGTCCTAGTGCTATAATGGTAGTCATAGGACAGGCCAAGGCATATTTGACAGAGACCCGGTAGCTCAATCGATAGCACTTGCACAACACGAGATTAAAATCCAATCTCGATCTGCTCCTCAATCTCCGTTGTTCGACCAACAGAAATGATGCGTTTTCTTTCGGTGAGATTAAACACGACATTGAAAAGAGTACCAGAGTCATTCTTCCCGACTTGCTTCCTGTTGATAGAGCTCGGGAAGTTTCGTTCATCCTTGAATAGCTCTAACAAGGACTCGAAGCCGGCATTCTTGCCAACATCTAGCGTTGCAAGCTCTCTCATACGGGCGGTACGTTTCGGCGAATCTTCAAGCCAGAGTGGCTCAAAAACATTCTCATGCTCCAAGATCAAATTGTTAGCATGAACGACACGGCCATTTTCATCAGCCGGCAGCTCCCTGAATCCAATACTGGTGCACTCGAGGCCAGTGGGACCCGAGTTGTCGCCGAGGAGAATGTGGCTGCTTCCGGCTAAGCCCACGCTCTGAATCCTTTCCAAGGCCTCTCTTTTCGACCTGGATTCCAGAATGGTCCGAAGAGCGAAGTGGGTTGGCATTCGTTCCGAGTTGACGCCCTTGGCGCGGATGCCGTTAAGAAGACATCCCACACCGTGCTCATTGAATCCAATCTTCCCGATGATACCTGCTTCGGTGATCATTTGGAAAGCTGGCAGATCGATGCCGGGCCCACCGTGCGGTTTGGCGCGAATGATGATCAGGTTTGGTTTCTGCTCATGCTTCCAGTCCCAATTTTGTGAGAGAAATGTAGACCCTCCAGGAATCTTCCAACCTAGTGCAGTGCATCCATCTACTGCCATTTCAAATGATGCACTTGGCGTTGTTTGTGTCGACTCCGTTTCAAAGAGACCAAAAGCGATCTCGCTTCGTATGTTCAACGCAATAACGTCGAGAACATCCACGGCAGCACCTTCCGCGATCCCTTCGATCTCTTCAAAGTATAAGGGAAACTTGGCTTTGAGGTGTGGCACAAACTCTCGGGTCTTTTCCTGCACTGTGGACCACTCCAAGCCACTGAAGTCTTTGAAGAAGTAACGGTAGAAGGCAATAGACCCAGCAACTTGCTTCGCAGCCTGATGACCTACTGCCAGGCCGATCTGCGTTGACACGGAGGTGAGCTTCTCAGGCACAAAATAAGCAGTCGGGAGCATCACTCACCTCGCGATGGGTTCCAGCAACAGTGATATCAATCATCCTCGCAGACTCTTCTTTTGCTCAAGATTTGATGTTGTTGAGGTGAGCATGTAATGTCAATAGATGCATCCCTCTTCGGGGGGGCATGCATTCGTCATGCGGGGTTCTCCTCGGCTAGGTATCTCATGCAGGCTTCGGAGTGGCAAACACTGGACAACGCGCCGACTCTCAACCTCCTTGATACGGTGCCCCCTATACGTCTGCATCAGTTGCCCTGCGTGCTTGCGTCCTCGTCTGATAGTAGCCAATCTCCAACAGTTTTGGCCAATGACATCGAATAGGTTATCAAGAGTGATCTAGGCCCTCCAAGACAATTGAAACATTAATTAATCGACCACTCGGCCATGATAAAGACTGGAAATCACTACTCTCAGCAATAATCATTGCTTTTGCATGTGTCTTCTTTAAATGTAAGGTAGCCTAGCTACTTTGTCATTGAGTTGCAGACTGCGCTTACCTCATGGGTACATGGACCCTCCCAGACCCGAATTTGAACATTTTAAACAGACCACCAATCCAGTAAAGAGTCTTTGACATTTCGTTATATTACAATCCTGATCACAGTCATGTTCGGTCGAATTCCTCGAAGAGTCAAAGCAGCCCCTTGCACAAATCAGTCGGAAACTTCCTGTCCGCTCCGGCGCTTGAAACGACAATGATCAAGATGAGTCTCGAAAACAACGTCAATCTTGAAAAGAAAGAAGACTTAAGGCTCAGATTACGGACTCCGTAGGAAGATTAATGGTATCTGAGCTTACATGCAACGACTTCAAGGCAAAAGTTTCTTGGATCTCGAACTCTCAATCAACGAACTTACTGATGCACATGACCCCTTGAGCAAGGGATGTCTGTAGTGCCCAGGATCTGATCGAAGTTCTCTTGGTTTATTATGCTTAAAAGAGGATGAAACCGCGCAAAATTATGTATTCTCTTCGTTTCCGGCCATTTATGCTGGAAGAAAAGTAGCGATCTAGATGCTGTTGATGTCATCAACTGACCTAGAGATTCGGGCCATTCGCATAAATATCACATCTTGATACAGATCTGAGCAATTTGATGTCCTTAGCCTCATTCGAAGGATAAAACCTTGCAAATGCTGCGATAAAGCAGATGGTCGAAGTCTTTGGCATCAGAAAATAACGATGGCGTGTTTTATCAGCGGCGTCGCTTCATATTTCGCCTCATACTGGTAGGAGTTTTGTTCTTCTTCCCTTCACACTGTTTTCGCGTTGGAAAAAAGAAAAGAACAACATGCATTATGATAAGAGGCACTCCTTTTGGGGAGTGGAATATCATTGAAATATCGAAATGAGCGTATGCGCGTTATCGACCCGAGCTACAACAAACCCTCGGGTAAGCTGCTCGGGTTCATGCTTTGTTCCGCGTATTCTTTACCACCCAACTCGGGTCCGTACGCCCCACACTTTAAGCGGTCCGAACCCGTTCAACTGCAACTCTATCCGAGCATTCACAGCCTGACATAGAGTAGAAAAAAATATGCAAACACGGAGCTGATGAGGCTTAGATCTGTCTGGACGTTGTGGAGCTCGGATTTCTCTTTTTAGGTATTGATGTCTTTACAATGTGGACAGCTTCGTTCGCTCCTCGACGTACATATACCCGCTCCTCTCTTGACTCTCGAATTTCCAGACAGTCCTTTCTGACGGCAGTCTCCATCAGCTTTGTTCGCCATTTTCCCTGGAATCTCTTTTAATTCTTCGTACATTTTTATCAGGATCACAAAACTCCCGTTAGCCTGCAGCCATGTCTACGGATGGATACTTCCAGCCAGTGCCAGGAGTTAAGCCAACCAAAGGAGGAGCCTACCTTTGGCGCTATCTCCCGAGCAAGCCTGCGGCGATCCTATTTCTCATTCTGTTCCTCCTATCCTTCCTCTATATCAGCTGGAAGATCTGGAGGACTCGTGCTCGCTTCTGCATTGTCTTTGCAGTAGGATGCCTCTGTAAGTTGCGCAATGATTCTTGACCAACCTCAATGTGCTAACGCCCAGCAAGTCGAAGTTATAGGATATGGAGCACGCGCCAGCGCCCACGATAAAACCGACAAAATCATGACCTTCGCCATCCAGAACATGTTCATTATTATTGCACCCGTCCTCTTTGCCGCCTCAATCTACATGATCCTCGGTCGAATCATCACAAGTATCCACGCCGAGAAATATTCGATGATCCGACCCGCCAAATTAACGAAGACGTTTGTCCTGGGAGACCTGGTTTCTTTTCTCATTCAGGGAGGCGCTTCAGGCATGATGGTGATCCAGAAGCCCGGTCTCGCGACTTGGGGTGAGAGGATCGTCATCATTGGCCTTGTTGTCCAGATCATCATGTTCGGTCTCTTCTGTGCTATCGCCGTTGTCTTCCACCGCAGAATGAGACAAGCACCCACTCCCGACTCCCTGGACGGCCTAATTCCATGGGAACAAAGCCTCTACATGCTCTATGCCGTCAGTCTGCTTATCATGGTTCGATCAATTTTCAGAGTTATCGAGTTCGCTCAAGGATATACGGGTTACTCTCTTTCCCACGAATGGACACTTTACGTTTTCGACTCCCTTCTTATGTATCTCGTCACGGTCCTTTTCGCTTGGAGATTCCCAGACCGCTTGAGGCCGAAGGAAGATCTGGCTTTGTGAGCTGATGTATATCAGCTTGGCCTCAATTGTTTGGTATCGGATTTTCATACGAAGATGCATCACAAGCATGTAGTGAGATTACGATTGGGGACTTTCATTTGTCAGGCAAGGTCTTTTAGAACTTTCCATAATTACTAAGTAAAAATATTTACGTTTGACTTCGCCCCGCATGCTGTTGCTGGCGATATGGTATTGGCTCAATTTCTTTTTTCCATTCAACCATCTACCGAAATCACCATTGAAGTCTTAAAACTTCTGGAATCCGAGACCCCATTGAGCTGACATTGCACTGTTTTCATTAGTTCGTAACTCTCAAGTACCCGGTCAGGGGTCCCTTTGAAATCACTGGCAAGAATACCAGTATGATCATTCCGGTGCCATGCGGTTGCATTTGAGAAGTCTTTATGGCGGTTCTCGAGGGATTGCCTTCCATCTGATCAATCACTAATCCTTGGTCCCAGCATACTGTGATGTTCGTGCGGGGGATCACAGGGTTGTATCAAATGATTTTCTCGGCGTCGGCATGTCAAGCAGACGATGATTCCGCAGTCAATGCAGATTTGAAATGAAACATTCGACATTATTGGCCGACAGCAAAGTGAGCAAATGCGGACCCGAAGGCGCTGCTGTTCTAGCATACTTCGGGCAAAGCAGTCGAGTTGAAGGGGTACTTGGTATCCGATTGAGAATGCCTTCTCCAGAAGCTTCTCATAGATTTTCTTGCGACCGAGTTTGACAGTCAAGAGCAGTGGTTTATTCAATATCTCTGACCCCTCTGATGCATTGGAGCTGAAATGAAGCAACTCCTCAAAATATGAAGGGACCCAATCAGTACCTGCGGTTAAGCCACTTACGACTGACAAGGTGATGGCATTCTTCCCAAAACCATCCGTAGGAACGACTAAGGACGAATCCTTGCAGGAGTGTCTGAGATGACTGACGTTACCCGAGGATTCAGCCTGAACCGCGGACCACAAGGGGATTCTTCCTGCAATATCCCTTGAAAGCGGTTCGGCTCCATGTCTAAGGAGCATCTCAATAACTGAACCGTTTCCGCTATCGAGTTGAGAAGCATGGGAAAGAGGTGTTCTTCCAAAGAAGTCCTTGGAATTCACGCTGGTCTGTCGTTGCAGACACCAGTTTGTGTACTCTGCACTAATACCAGCGTGTGATAAGGCGGTGCGTCTATGTTGGTCGCTGACACCAACCGTACTCACAAAGCCATGTAGGATCATGTGATACAGCGCCATTCTAACTCAAGTGTCTTTGATATGGACTGCATCTTTGTTTTCGGAAACAATTTGCGTCACCGCAATATCGATCCCCAGAGCTGCCACCACGCGCAAGAGACTTGCTTCGTTGCGAGCGTCAATACCGGCTAGACTTGCAGCGGTGGACTTGTGGTCGAGCAGTTCTTGAACCTTTTCATGAAGGGTGGCGGCGTCGGATTGGTGAACGTGCTTACACCAATTGCTTGGGCGTATCCCAGAAGCTCTCTTGGGGTTCCGGATTTGTCGCAGAACACACCTTCATTGAATACACCATCGATGTAGGGTGTGGAGATCCAGCACATGCGACCTCAAGGCCCAAAAAAAGTCAGATATGCAGCACACGCACCACTGATTTTGTAATGGGCATTCGGGAAACAGGTCTTTGCGATTGCTTTGAAGGATTCCTGTGTTGCGTAGTGGCTTAAGCGGACGATGCGAGACGTATCATCGAGTACGATCAATCCTCCGCAGGCGGAGACGATGTCTGCGGGCTCATATATCATATCGCTGTCCGGCTGCCCGTGATGATTTAAGCTGACGGCGGTAATCAGCTCATGAGCCTTCAATGGTCTTTTGGCATGCGTGATCCACCCGAGAATCTCCATCGCTAAGTCGCCGTGCTCTTGCATCTTGATTCTGTCCAAGACCTTATCATAAGCTTTGCGCAGTAATTGACGCTTCCAGTCGTTACCGTCATCAGAGAGTGGCTGAGCGTATCGTACATCTCTCTGGATTTCAGCCAAGCGTTTATTGACAGCTGGAACGTTGAGATCGTCTCGGAGAGCGTCCAGGAAGAGATGTGCTAGAAGAAACCTTGTTTTAAGAGTAGCCGGCCAGCCGTCTGCCCGAGTGTTTATAACTTTTCTGTAGGGTTCAAAGATGGAATACTCGCATGCCGTCGACGATGCTAATGATGACATTTTTGACTTTCTTTCGAAGATCTGGATGTCTTCGCAGAAGTGGTGACAGGTTTTGCACGCGTCCGCGTAAGTATATTTCCAAGTCCTGTGTTTCTGCGCGAACTTCTTGGACCAAGGAATTGGTAGAATCAAAGCGACAGCTGATGCTATCTATCTGTCGTGAAGTGATGAATAGTCTGACGTTTGACTGCTGCCGTAGGTCGTCAATGATATCCAGCATATTTCCACGCTCATTCGATCCAAAGACTTCCAGTTCATCTATTGCATCTATGACGATGATGCAGCTCGAAATCATGTTGATTGTCTCTCGTAGAATTTTCTTGACGGCCGTCGAGGGAAGTGGGTCTTTGCGTTCGTGCATCTTCTTTAACTCGCCAGGTAAGGAAGGAAAGGCTTCGAGAACTTGTCTCAGGACAAATCGTAAAAGAGACGACGAAGTGTCCAGGAAACGGTTCTTGTAGTCGCAGTACACATACGCAAAAGCAACATCATCACGGTCCCGGTATTCGCTGCGAAGATGATTGGCCACTGTCGCCGTGATTATCGTCTTTCCAGCTTCTATCCCACCAAGGCAAAAGAGAATACGGTAACGTTCATCGGATCCAGGAGAAGATAACCAAGTCTTGAAATTCTGGCACTCAAGGAACCAGGTGCCGATTCCTTCGTATCTCATATTGAGCAAATCAGTCTCTTCCAGCACGAATTTCCGAGTCGAAATCCAATCAAGAACCATTTATCTGTTTTCCGCTTCTACGTGACATTGAAAGTAACCCTGCATGACTTTGGCTGTACTGCGGGAATCGTCAACGGCTTGACTCAGTTCGCCTAGGGTGTCACGGACTTCGTCCATAGACTTGCCAATCTGGCCGAAATACTGTTTCGTCTCCTGGATGACATACCTGTGAAAACTTAGCATCATTCTAGGTCGGTGGACGAAGATATACAGGCTGTTCATACTGCTGGATTGCCTGTGCTATCAATATGAGCCGTATCTTCGCATCTCGAATCGCTTGTATGTGTATCTCGAATCTTTGATCAAATTCGGTCCCCTTGAACCACTTTTTGACGAAATCCTTCCCAGAAAGACGTTCATTCAAGAAGACGAGCGCCTGGCGACATAGGCTCAGGATATATCCTAGACCTTCGATATGCTGTGCGTGCAGTGGCTGTCCCCCTGCGTCACCCAATTTTAGAAGGGGGTGAAGGGTCGATGTGGTCTGAATTATGTCGTCGAGCCAGCCGGAGAGACGCTCCAGTTCGGTGGTGTCATGCTTAGAAGGGCCAATATGGTTACTCGCAAGTTGAAGGCATTCCTTCGCTACCGGCAGGAATCCGACCGCACCAACGACTAGACCAACGACCTCCATGGTGCTTCTCCCTGTGGGAAGCATAATATTTGAGGACGGCGTAAAGGTACAGACAAGTGTCAATATCTTGTAAATGAGAGAAGGAAGGCAGTGTGACTTGCGGCAAATTGACGAAACCTTTGGAAACCTTGCCTCTGATAAGATCCCCCGACTGCTTTCAAGCACGGTCCAAGGAGGCATGGAACGAAGACAAAATCAGGCATGCCCCAAGAAAGGTGACCCCAGCCTCCCGTGTATCAGTTGGACATGATGTTATCGATACTCTCTACAGAAGCATGATTCTTACTTCTGGAAGTCAACTCTCTTTGAGAATTCCGAAACATGGTACATCCTTTGTCTGGCATCCATATTTTCTCCTACAAACAGCCCTATTCCAGTGAAGAAGGATCAAAGTCCTCCTTCATGTCAGGCAGCCAGCCTTTTGGCCGTTCCGTTCCTCGGATCGCCAAGCCGTAGCCCAGCTTCTCCACCTTGCGCACCGACTGTCGCATAACCTCCATCTTGCCCCTAAAGTCTCTTGTCGGAATCTCTGGAAGAATCTCGAAGCAGCTGCTCAGCTCATGGATATCCATCAGAATGTTGCGGCCCTCGATCCCGGCGAGCTGACCGGTCTGGGCAGTAGTCACCGTGGCGAAACGCATCATCTCGCCAAAGAGGTCAAAGAGACCAAACATGTAGTCGTTTTCGGTAATTGATACATTAGCTGGAACAGCCGCTGCTGTCTCTTCCTCGCTGATGAGTGTCTGGTTTCGGAGGTAGTGGGAAAAGGACAGGGCCTCGACGAGCTCCTCTAGGCAGCGGAGAGAGTGAGCGTAGCGGTAGCGGTTGACGCCTTGGATGTCGTTCTCAATGGCGGTGAGATGTTTCTGAATCTCGCCCATGCGCGTTTCAATCTCCTTGTTGGCGAAGTTTGGAAGGTCGCCCAGCTTGTTGACTCTGGCCCAGTGTTAGTAGATGGCATGAGAACAATTTGAGGTCGGTCGGAGTTACCTCTGGCAGGTGAAAATGCTGCACCCATGTTAGTCAAGCCCAAGTTTAGACTAACGATTGCATGCTCACATCTTCTTGCTCAACGCGGTGACATCTCTCGATGCCTTGACAATGCGCTCCCTGCGGTCGTGGTGCTGGTCTAGCTCATCGCGGAATTTCATGAACATGGGGGTGAATTGAGACTCGGGCGCAGCCGGCTTCTGTTTGGGCTCATGAGTCCGCATGTTGCCATCCCGATCGCGCTTAGACATGCTGAAATATTGCAATACTTGAACGGTATTGGTAAGATGCAAGGTCGGGAAAAGTTGAGGCCGTCGATGAAGTCAGTGACTTGGAGTGATGTTGGTGTGAGGTCGTGCAGGGTCAGAATTGAATTTAGTGGGGTCGGCAGATGGAGCACCCGGGGTGTGGGCCCAGCACACCCATCTGGGCTTCTGTGTCCAGGGGCTGGCTGGTTTTGCCCACGTCACTCAAATTTCCCATCATGGCAACATGGGGATTTGAAGCTTGAACCCCCGAAACTTACATTCGCTCCAAACCATTGTATCTTTCAGGGCATGTTCAATGGCTTTCTGGATAGTTTCGCTCGAGTAGTACTATCTTTCATCAGATAGCCGAAAAACCTGCAGCGAGACACAACTCACCCGATTCATACTACAGCATGGCCGGCCTCGACGCGTTCTTCCGGCCCGTGCCGCTTTTCGGCGCCGCCGCGCTCCTCCGTGTGGCGATGTTGTACTACGGCTTGTGGCAAGACGCCAACTCCGCCGTCAAGTACACCGATATCGACTATCTGGTCTTCACCGATGCTGCCCGCTTTACTGCTCAAGGACGTTCACCCTACGACCGCGAAACTTACCGCTACACGCCACTACTGGCGTGGATGCTCGTGCCAACGGCGTGGCAAGGATGGTTCTCATTTGGCAAGGTCGTTTTCGCGGTCGCAGACTTACTGGCCGGCTTCTTGATTGTGCGTATTCTCGAGAGGCGCGGCGTGGAGATGGGAAGAGCCCTGAAGTTTGCCAGTATCTGGCTGCTGAATCCCATGGTCGCAACGATCAGTACCCGTGGGAGCTCAGAGGGACTCCTGGGTGTGTTGGTCATGGCGCTGCTTTGGGCTGTGCTTGAGAGAAGGATAACGCTGGCTGGGCTGCTGCTTGGCTTCGGAGTCCATTTCAAGATCTATCCTTTCATCTATGCGCCGGCAATTGTGTGGTGGATGGACGAGGACATGCTTGGTCGAAAGGGGGCAGGTTCCGCTCAGACGCAGACTTTTGGCGAGGCGGTGGTCAAATTTGTCAATGCTGAGAGAGTCAAGTTGGCCATCGTCAGTCTTGCGACATTCATGGGGCTCAATATTGCCATGTACTCCATGTAAGAACCCAAGTGGCAGGCAATTCCGGGCAGTGCTAACCACCTTACAGCTATGGCGCGCCATTTTTGGTGCATACTTATTTCCACCACGTCACCAGGATCGACCACAGGCACAACTTCAGCCCTTACAACGTGCTTTTGTACCTGACGTCTGCTTTCCCGTCCACGGCTGCTATTCGCATCGAATCTGTCGCATTTCTTCCTCAGATCCTGCTATCGACGGTGCTTATTCCGCTCGTTCTAGCCAAGAAGGATCTTGCAACTTCGATGATGGCTCAGACCTTTGCCTTCGTTACCTTCAACAAAGTCTGTACGAGCCAGGTAAGAGAAGACTGTCACTCGAGCGGTCTCACAAGCTATGGCTAACGTTCGAGCAGTATTTCTTGTGGTACATGGTCTTCCTGCCCATTTACCTCCCCGGCTCAACGTTCCTGAAGAGTCCGAAGCTCGGGGCGACTGCTTTGGGCCTGTGGATTGTCTCCCAAGCTGCTTGGTTGCAGCAGGGCTTCAATCTGGAGTTCTTGGGCGTCACTACCTTCTTTCCAGGCTTATTCGCGTCATCCGTAGGATTCTTCCTCGTCAATTGTTGGATCCTGGGTATCATGGTCAGCGATGGCGATTCAACAACCATCCGCACAGGCGTCAAAGCCAGCAATAATAGTCGCATGATTATGTAGATGCTAAAGGAAGAGGAAAATCTAGTGATCTTCAGGAGTCCATCCCATGGCGAACCAGACTCGATATCAGGTAGCCCTTGGTCTATTGGGGAATCTGATCGAGCTACAATCCATATTTAATGAAACGAAATTACGTCTGAATCATTTTTCATATGCTTGACTTGATTCTCAATTGCACTCAAGAGCCGTTTGACTGATTTTGCGAAGTCTCAAAGAGAGGCTCAGAGGGAGTGTGGTTGTTGCCTGAAAGTGGACACGTGATCCGGCGTCACTTTCCCGCGACGGCACGCGCGTGGGCACACGACCTCCATGCATCCTCTACACCAACTCAATCCCGTCGCATTGCCCAACATTTTCGTTTTAGGCTTCGCAGCCAGCACCCGAATCGTGCGCCAGTCCGCGGCGCTTTCTTCCGTGGACAGGTCGCCATGTGGCTATTAGAGACTGACGGCAATGTCTTCGAGGGTACATCTCAATTTACCCCACTAATTGTGCAAGATGCTGACGCGATTGATGCACAGGGCGACGGCTTTGGCTCCGGCCAGGCAAACGATATCTCTTCGGCCGAACTGACTCGGAACGTATGGGCTATGACTATGCGATCATATTTAACGAACCTTGCTGACGGCCTGCAGCCGGACAACTGGCCATCTCCCATAAGACGATATCGCGCAAACATCTGACCATCGAGGTTGACAATGTGTCCGACGGTGACAGCGTACGTTGGCGCATTGCAAATGGCTAGTGCAATAGCTGAATGTCTTTCTAGCAACATCTCTCACGCCGATCGAACGTCACGATCGAAGACTTGGGCACCAAGACCGGGACGACCGTAGACGGGCACAAATATAAGGGCGAAAAGCATGTAGTGGCCGCAGCTTCAGCAGAGATTAAGATGGGTGGCTGCCCTGATACGTTTCGGTAGAGATCTTGTCGTTCGGAGATGCGGAATGCCTGCTGATGATCTTCTAGCTTGACCTGGCAACCTGTGGCGCTCACATTCAGCTTCTCAAGCCGAGAAATGCAGTCCGACCCTTTTTCGCGACTGCGTGTCGACCTTGAGCAGCTTGACGTGAAGTTGTTGGCGGATTACAACATTCAGCATACGACACACGTTGTCACCAAGAAGCGCAACACTTCCAAGGGATTGCAGGCGCTGATCAACGGAAGGTACATCGTTGCAGACTCCTTCGTGGATGCCATTGTCGCGGCCGCGACACCCCCAGAAGATGACGATATCACTGCCTCCTCTGCTTTGGAAACGGACTTTGATGGCAATTGGCCAGACCCGTTGAGGCATCTGCCTCCTCGAGGTGGCGAGCCTGTTGAAAGGCCTCCATCCGCATATGCGCCGGACGAAGCTCGTTTGGAAATCTTCGAGGGTTACACCTTCATCTTCTACGACAAGGGCCAATTCGACAATCTTTTGGCGCCCATCACCAACGGCAAGGGCAAGGCTCTGTACACAAAGGTTGATCCCAGGTCGACTACAGTGGATGATTTCGTTCTCTACGTCAAAACGGAAGCTGGCGAGAAAGGACTCGGTTCGTTCGACGACGGTAGCGAAGGGCGGGGTGTCGTAGTCGTCCGCTTTGTACCGAATAAAGGCGACGCTGTTGATTGGTATGCCGACTTTTTCACTCAGGTCTCTCTCCGACTTGATCACAGACCCATCGAACAGAACGAGTTTCTCGAGGCCATTCTCATCAAAGATACCAGCATATTACGCCGGCCTTTGGAGATGGACCCGACTCAGGTTCCGGCAAGCACAGCACCACAACAGAAGGCGGCGAGAGTTGACTCAAGCTCGATGGATATAGATCAGCCAACAACCTCGCAAAACACGCCTCAGGAGTCTGCGCCTGCGCCTGCGCCTAAGCCTGCTGCTGCCAGAAGTCGGGTGCGGAGGGCACCGACGAGACGCTTCGCTGGATTCGACGCAGACGATGACGATGACGACGCCTTCACTCCTCCAGTGGTTGAAAGCAAATCGGTCGAGGCCGAAGTTGAGGATGAGGGATTATTCGTGTCTCAAGATGCGCATGCGCCAAACGATGTAGCCGAACCATCGCCAAATATGAACAGACGATCCCAAAGGAAACGCCCTGCAGCGCAGGACGATGACATTGAGGATATTATCCCGACAGCTGCCGCAGTCAAAAGACGAAGGATCGCCGCCGGAGAAGAGCCTGTTCCGCGAAACGAATCACCTGAGCCCGCGGAACCAGAGCCGAAACCTGCCCCCAAGGTCAAGAAGGTGAAAAAGGAGATTGATGTTCTAGACGTTGCCCGCCAGCAGAGGGAAGCGATGGAGGCCCGCCTCAAGGCAGAGAAGGAAGATTTAGCCAATTTGCCTGATGATGTTGACTTGGAGCAAATCCGCCGGCTACACATCGTCGAGGAGATGCCGTTACGTCAACCACCAGCCAACAGAAGTCACGATAAAGACGATGAAAATGGCAGGTGGGATCCACGGTGGAATGGAAGGAAGAATTTCAAGCGCTTCAAGCCGCGAGGTGAACTCACGGGACGGCCACCTCAAAAGGTCATTGTGTCTCTGACGCAAGTCAAGCCCAAGGAATTCGGTATTGGAGACGATTACTGGCTAGAGGACGACAGCCAGCGCAAGAAGAAGGGCAACGAGAGCCAAAAGAGCGGTACAGCCCAGGACGAGCCCGCTCCCCCGCCACCGCCACCACCTGCGTTTCGGCCGGCGTCGCGACAACAGCGTGTCGTCCTAAGCGATGACAGTGAAGAAGATGGCGACATACCCGATACCCAGGCTGAGCCCGCACCAGAGCCTGAGGCTGAACCTGAGCCAACGCCGGCGTCACGGTCAAGGAGTACGCGTGCGACGACGGCGACACAGTCACAGAATACCACACAGAGCCAGTCGATGAGACAGACTCGCGGAAAGAGAGCCGCACCAGAACCAGCCAAGGAGCCGCCGGCGAAGAAGCCGAGAGCCACGCGGAAAGTCATCGAGGTTGCGGATAGTGACGACAGCGAAGATGAGCTCAAGTTCAAGTTTGGCCGGCGGCGTTGAAGGGTCAGAGCGCAAGGAGAGTAGTAATGATGATGTATGACTTGCATTCGTGGGGCGCTGCTTCTATTGTTGGGGGTATCTCTCTATCCGTATTCTGCATGCAGTCTCGACCTATTCAAATACAGGCGTCTACTGTCGCATCTTGCTTATATGTGCCTCTCAGTGCCATTGCTTATGTAAAACCGAAAACCGTACCATGCACATCAGTCCATCTCATCCATCGCGCTCGGCTTCGTGCCCTCTTCCTCATCTACTAACAACCCCACGAGACAGGCGGAGAGCATAGTCTCGTAATTCACCCAGGGATGAATCTCCCCAAACAACTTCGTCGCATCGCGACCCGCGCCGCGCAGCAACTCGGGCTCGCCAGCCGGGTGGTACGGCAGGTAGGGCGTGATATTGTACACCCTCCCACCCAACGCCATCCACGCATCTTTCCCCTTCCTCCCCGTCATCTTCTTCAGCATCGAGGGCGTGACTTTGAGGTAGGGCGTCGAGGGCGGTAGGTTGCGCAGGTCGGCGTTGGGGCCTGAGATGCGCGCCCAGTCGAGTGGGGAGTGGCCCGGCGTGAGGATAACCTTGCGCGTTGGTTTCGGGGCCTTTGCGGAGTGTGTGGGCGGCGGCGCGAGGGAGGAGCCGAGGGAGGAAGAGCTTCCGGGTGCCGGGCCGCGGTTCGGTACGGGGCCGCGGGCGCGTTGGGGGGAGTTCATTGCTGGGAAGGCGGCTAGGCGGGGGGGGACTGGACCGCGGGGCGTTGGGGCTGGTGGCGGCATCATGTTGGTTGAGGTCGTTGAAGGCGGAGGAGGGGGCGGCATGCTTCCTTTGCCGAGAGAGGATCCTGAGGGCGAAGAGAGTGATGCGCCGAGGGAGGGTGGTGCCGGTGCCTTTGAGGGTTCTTCGAGTGTGAAGGAGGGTACGGAGGCGGCGGGAGCGGCGGGGGTTGCCTTTGGTGTTGTTTGTTCTTCGGTTTCTGGCTCGGTTACCATGGGCGGCGCGGGAATCGCAGGATTCGGGGAGGAGCGGCGGATGGCTGGCGCAGTAGGAGGAGAAGGCATCGCGACGGCGGCGGCGGTGGCGTTGCGCGGCGCGGGCCCGGGTGCCGGTGCGGCGATGGTGTCTTCGGGGAGGTTGAGAGTTGGCGGGGGAGGGGCATTGCGCGGCTGTTCCTTGGTCGAGGGCTCGGATGCGTGTCCGTTCGTAGTTGTTGTCGAGGTTGTCGTCTTTGACTCATGTTGGTCGCTTGGCGGTGGAGGCGAAGAGGACTTTGACCGTGAAGAAGGCGGTAGGAGCTTTGTGTCGTTCCTCCAGGCGAGGAGGAAGGGCGGCATGAAGGGGTGAATCCATGGCGGAGGGGCGACGATGACCCAGACGAAGGAGGCGAGGATGAGGGAGACGCCTATATAGCCCATGATTGCGACCCGGTGATGGGCCGTTGGCCGCGACGGGGGTGATGGGGTGCGAGGAAGAGATGTCTAGAGAAAGGAAAAGAGTAAATGTTGAAGCGTAAGGTTGTTGAGGTTGCGGCTGAATACTATGGAAGCTGCCGTTGTGGTTGTGTCTCTTTCCCTTGGAGGTTCTGCGCAGGATGGGAAATCTTTGTCAGCTTGCAGCGGCTGCAACATTGACTTGGGCTTTCCGAGGCCGCTGAGTGGTGCGGGCTTCAGTTCGCGGGCTGCTAAGCGACAAGGGTGGGCACGGGGTTCACTGGCGGGGTTCGAGCCTTTCAAGGCTGCCCAGCGGCATGACGCGCTACGATTACAGTACAGTAAGGAGTACGGTACATAAAGAGGTGCGCAATTCAGGTGCAGTTTGCAGAAGAAGAAGCTTGGGAAGGAAAAGAGGAGGATGAGGTAAGCGGTGCAGAAAAGGTACGTATTTGACGCTAAGGTGATTTGAGCCGGGCAACCAGCCAGACCCCCGGGACACGGGCTGACGGGTAGAGAAGAAAAAAAAGAAAATAAACGAGATGGAACGACCCGGACCCCGACGCCGACCAAAACAAAAATAACAATACACCCACACACCACACCACACCGAGAGTCTACACAGTAGAGAGGGGAGGAGAAAAAAGGGAAAAAAGCAAAGAAGATCGAAAGGTGACATGTCACCGCCGCCGGGTCCCACTAACCACTCACCATTTGCAGACTAGAGGAACTTACTGGCCGCCCCTCCACGCCCTGCCCTGCCTGTTGCTCGAATCCTCACCGATCACAACCTACAGGGACTGGGTGCCGAGGCAGACAAGGCAGGGTCGGTGGGGTTTGATGGTCGTTTTTTGTGCAGGATGCCGTTGTGTTGAAGCCGCAACGCATGAATAAACAAATGCCAATCGAGATGAATGATGGGGAAGGATGGCGATAGGAGGAGAACGAATGCATGGTCAATGGATGCAGGAATAATAACCACAATAGACAGTCTCTATACCACAGCACCACAGGTTGAAGGGAACAAGACGCGCACAATAATAATAGAAGCGTGGTAGACTCGTGAACGTGGTTCCTGTGGTTCCTGTGTTCCCGTTGTTTTACGGATCCCCAAATCGAGGCGAGTCCGAGCTGGGGTTCTGGTCGTGTCAACGATGAAGAATAACGATGTCATTTTGCATTTCTGCATCTCTCGTAAGTATCGTCTCGTTCCGGACAGGCATCATATGGTTCCTTGTCTCTGCTCTTTGCTTTACCCTTTTGAATGAATTTCATTCTTCAACTCGCGCCTCCTTCTCTCCCCTCACCTCCATTCCCGCGTTTTCTTTCTAGCCTGAACGCGTCTACTCTTCTTTTAGGCTTGAGCACCTGACGGCACATGTCTCATATCCGGCATTACTCCTGTTGATCACGAACGCATGTTTCAATCACAGCAACGTTTGACATCGAGTCTGTTCGTGTGAAATCATCTGGAACGAAACAAGGCGCAAAGACACACACACACACACATCCAACACATACACGACCCAAGAAAGAAAGAGAGGCAGACACAGACACAGACACACGACAACCTCATTCTCTGGCCCTCCTATTCTCACCGAGCAACTCTGACCGACGGAATTCTCCCACCGCCGGGCCACACACGAAAAGAGCATACGAAAACCGAAAAAAGACATCAGAAACGGTAGCGATATTCGACACACACCGCATCGTGGATTCGTGCCTCGTACCGGAATTACAGGCTCTTCAACAAACCTCGCCCAACCTTGACTTCGAAAAGGGACCCCCTCAAAACAACCCCACTGCACACACAGCAGACAAGATTGGCCTTGCGCAGGCCCCCCCTTCTTCAGGTTTATTTCCAGAATTTCCAAGGGACAGCCCGGGCTAGGGGTGGACACCGGGAGAGAAAGACTCCAGCACTCCAAAGAGTTGAGAGACACAGACTGCCAGGGACGAAGCCAAGCACCGCCAGGGACTTCCCAGCACAGAGGTCTTTCGTCCAATGTCTCGAGCACCACAATCAAGTACCTCTCCCCGAACCACCACCTCCTTTTTGCAGCGCTCCCTGGTGGAGGTACTTCCTCACCTCTAGCACCAGCATCTGCAACCGCACCCGCACCCTCACACCTGCACCCGCACCTGCAGGGACGTACCCGCAGGCACGGTTAGGTGCTGCCCCCTCAGAAAATGCGAGCGCTCTCCTCCGTGGGCGTTGGCGGCGGCGGTGGTAGCGACACCAGCAACAACAGCAGGAGGAGCAACAACACGCCGTCTGGCTGCAACAATCTTTCGACTGCTCCCTCGGCTCCGTCTCCCTTACCTTCACCAAGGCACGCCGGCGATTCATTGACATCGCCGCCACTCAAAGGCACTCACCCAAACACCACCACCACCGCCACCACCACCAAACGTCCCGAGCAGCAGGGAAACAACAATAAGCTCCAACAACACCAAAAACACCTCGTCGTCCAGCAGGGAAAGCAGACGCCCGACTCGTCCCGAACTAGGAGAAACATCAGGCCATCCATCTCACCCGCCACCCGCATCAACCCCGCCGCATCTGCTCATCGTCCATCATCCAATTCATCCAGACCATCTGGGACGACGACAACGACATCATCCCGTCCATCGGCTGCTCCCTCGGGTTCCTCTGGCCCTGGTGCCTCTGCTGGTCCAACCTCCGCAACATCATCGTCGCCCGCCGCCGTCGCTGTCGACCGCAAACCCACGGCGGCCCAGCTCCGAACCACAAATAATCCCACCTCGACTAATAACACCAATCCCGCCGCCGTCGATCGCTCACCCACCCCTACCATTGCTGCTACTGCTGTTGCGGCCACTCCTACCACCACTACCACCACCACACGCCCACCACCACGGCCACTTACCGCTGCTGCCACTGGCCCACCAACGATAAACGGGCCCCGACGCATCACAGCTGCTGCCACCAGTGCCAGCACCACCAAAACAACCACCACCACCGCCGGCCCAAACACAACATCGTCACCTTCACCTCCCACCACCACTTCTTCAACGCCGACAACATCACCAGCACCAGCACCACAACCAACAACAACACCAACGTCAACGCCATCCTCTACTTCGAGACGACAGCCGCCTGCCCTGTCCTCCAGCTTGCGCACACCCCTCCGCACACGAGACCAAAATGTCCTGAACCCCTCTCGAACTGCAAACGCCGCGCGAGCGAAGCCTTCGCCAACCCCGTCACCCACCACCGGCTCATCACCAGCGTCCGCTTCCGCTGCCTCCACACCCACCATGCCCCCCTACGAGAAAGGGGGCAGCACCACCACTCGCCAGCCGGCGATGCCTTCCCTCAGCGCAAAGGCAATCGGTCGAGCTCCTCTGACCCCGAAAATCGCTGCGAAACCTTCACCCCCGGTCGTCACCCCCGTGGGTCGTCGCCGCAACGACAACACAAGTAATAACAACACAAATTACCCCACACAACCGCACGTAAATGGTGGAGGTGCAAGAGACGACCTCACGAGCCCTGCGCCTTTCCTGGCTGCGAATAACATCACACCTCGCACCGGCAGTCGCCAGAGCCGTGTCAGCAGTACCAACACAACCCCAAATGGCACCCCGGATCCGGACAGAAACGAATGGGATCGCCAGCCGACACTCGAGCCTCCGAGGCGGCAGGTCGTCACCTTCAGCCCGCCTTCAAGCGTGAGCAGCAGGAACGATGCGAACGATTCCAAGTTTTTTTACGCCAGCGAGGCAAAACCATCGCAAGCTTCCCAGGCAAAAGCTCAGCCTCTCAAAGCCCAGCCCAGACCTCTAGCTCCCCAGCAAAGAAACTCGACTTTCATGTACGCCAACGGTGGTGCTGTCGAAAAGAACAGGCCTACATCGCCTGGTGTTGGTTTCACACCTGTCCTGGCGCCGTCGCTTGCACCGTCCCTCTCTCCGCAGCTTGCGCCGGCGCCGGAGCCGTCATCGAGCAAGTTCTTCTACGCCAATGGAGCTCCGAATTTACAGCCTGGCTTTCGGCCCTCGTCTGCAGCATCAATGACGGGATCAGTCACTTCAGCGTCGAGCAAGCTGCATAGGACATCAGCAGGCTCAGCGAATGGCTTCCCTATGGCCCAGCGACCGATATCGCCAAACAAGCCAACCCAACCTCCGACGTCCGCGCCATTATTAGTCAAGAGCAATAGCATGCCGCCTCACACCGTTGGCCGAGCCCATATGACTAGCCCTCCGCCGCTCGCGCCGCCGTCACATAAGCGTAGGACGAGTACGGATACGCTCTCACAGGTGGCAAGTCAGGCTGGATCAGAGGCGCCAGCGACAGATGCCATGATCATGTCCAGGTTCATGGCTTCACAAACATCGACACCCTCCGAATTGCCATCTCCGACAGTACCGAGTTTCTTTGCACAACAGCCGATCACGATTGCGTCAATAATACAGGCAGCAGACGATCTCGAAGAAGAGGAGGAGGAGAATTCGGCTGATGAGGACAACGACCTCGAGGACCTTCACAGTCCGACGAAGTCATCTCACGGAGACCCTCTGAACGACATGGTTCTCAACGCCAGAAGAGAGCGCAAGGTTCAAGATCTAGAAATCACCAACGCGTCTCTCGAGGCAATCAACAGGTCGCTGGAGAAGCAGTTAAGGAAACAGACGGCAGAGCTAAGAAGGTACAAGAGACTGTCGAGGTCCGGGCGTCTATCCGTCCCTCCTTCGGGCGGTTCGAGCCGGATGACTTCCGCCGACTCCACCCCTGCAGGCCTAGGCATTGAAGGACTGGACTTGTCGGATCTCAGCGAGGAAGAGGCCGAGGAAGAGATGGACGATTCCATGTTTGAATCATCAGAGCTTTCCGAGACGGATTCCATGTCGATATCAAGTCCCAAGGAGGATCCGGAACGAGACATACGCCGCCGGACTCGTGATGAGAAGCGCCTGCGATTGGACCTCTCGAAACATAGGGAACTGCTTGTCGACAGCCAAAAGATCAACGTGAGCATCAAGAGATGCTTGAATTGGACGGAGGAGCTCATTAAGGAGGGCAAGAAGGCCCTCGAGTACAGTGTCCGCCCTAGCGATGTGGAGCTGCCCCCGCGGGTTCTCCGCCCGGCATACCTTGAAGAGAACGAAGATGGAGGGAAGGGGCAAAAAGATGAGTTCACAACCTCGTTACCGAGCAGTCCGTTAGATTCCCCGAGGAGTCTGTCGCCCCACTGGAGCAATCCGCAGGACCGCGATAGCGGTATCGAGCTGCATGCGGACGAAAAGAAGTACAACACAACAACATAATACACGAGCCAGACCGGATCTCACCGTCGCGGCCTGGACGTTGCGGCGGCACCGTACAACATCACCACTCATGGAACACACACTTTTCCTTACAAAACATTTTACTTTTCTTGCATGGCACGGGGAATCAGTCCAGGTTTGGGATAAGTCGGAACCACGGCGTTTTCTTTTGTTTTCCATGGGAGGGCCTTTGAGAAAGACAGGGAAAAGGTTTCATCCCGATCGGCGACGGCATCGACTCTTGCCCCCTTCGGAGGGGGCGGGTAAGAACGACCGCCGCATACACACACTGCTTTTATTATACCTACTTTTTTTTCTGGTTCTCTCTCCTTTGTCACACTGATTTTTGTGTACCAACAGATACCCCAAAGCACTTTACATATAAACAACGGAACATAAAGGAGCGGGCCGAATGAACCATGTTTTCATGGCCGCGCTTAGGTTTGGTTTGGGAAACGTTTGTTGACTCTTGCCCAGAATTACGGAGCAGAGCACAGAAGAACGAGACAGTGGGGGGAAGACGAGATGGGTCCAAAACCCAAGCAGTGGCGAAGCCGATTTGTATCATAGCAAATTTAAGCCAAGAAGGCCGGTGAAAGACCTGGCGATAACTTCAACTTCGTGTGCCTTCAGTGCTCTGTATTTCCGTGTGTGACGTGCCGGATATGTTTGCGTTGTGTCTGTGATCATCTCAGAATTTCCACGTCTTTTCAGCCACAACGTCTGGTGATGGTTATACTAGAAATTGGAGACTGAGATCCGGGAAGGAGAATCTGCGAGACTGTGAGACATGAGGCTGTCATTGTCCGAAGGGATGGGCCGAGACCTTTCTTAGTTCAACGTCTTGGCGTTCCAGTTCTTTAAAAGGGGCGGCTATTTCCTCAACGGTCTCACTGGAGAGTGGGTATGAAGAGTCAAGCTTCCCCTTTGAGGTCATTTCGATGTCCACTCTTTGAGACGTTGCGGCGTCGGCTAGGTTCTAGGCTTTGGAGGAGGAGCCGGAGCTTGCGAATAGGGGACTCGAAGGGTTTGGAAGCTGGGCTTGGAATGAGACTTTTCCTTTCCATTATGACACTCCTTCCTGTCTAATTCATGCTACTGACGGCGGTTCATGGTCATGGAGCCATGGTCACTAACAGTCATGAGTCTGCCTGCCTGACAGGAATTTCAGTGTAGAAGTCCTATATAATGGATCGATGGTGGCGTGTGCAATAGTCGCGTCAAGACAACAACAACAACAACAACAACAACAACAACAACAACAATCCGCTTTTACGAAGGTTCTCGCAAATAGAATCTAGAGACGAATATAACCCGTCTTCGTCAGAAGCTTACATGCGCTCGTACAGGTTGAGGACTGCAGATTGAGAGGCAGACCCGAGTCACACGGAGCAGTGGATCATGCCTCCTAAAATCTTGTCCTGCTACTGGGTGGTATCCATCTTTGAATATACAGCTGAATAGGAGGGATTGTGTTGCTGGGTAGATGTTGTTGATGATTGGGGTCTCCGGCTTACGAGGTGATTGGCGATCAGGGTGAAGTTCCACGCTGCTTAGAGAGTCCATGACCATCAGATCGGATCAGCACCATCCAGCGGCTTCCAACCAGCTCCTGGCCAAATTCATGTTTGCTTCACTTCAAATACCCACGAGCTCGTGGCGCTTATGATGCATATGGAAGACTGCTTTCAACTTTGTCTAGTGCTCTTACCATCCAAGTCAATTCTAAACCGGCTCCTTCCTGTCAATAGAAAGAAAACTCCTTAATGCTCTTTACAAGAGACCACCTTAATTAACTGCGCCATTTAAAGGGCATGGCACATTGATATTCTAGGTCTATCTTGCCACATCTGGTGAGCAAAGTCGGGTCTAGCTTCTAGCCCAGCGTTTTATGCGTGCTGATCGTTACCCTCGCTATCACCGATTAGACCCCCTTTGCCGAAGGCTCTGGCCATCCAAGTGTAGCCAAACTACATGTGCGGGATGTTTAGTTACACACCTATGATGAGCACCTAACGTTGGGCGTTCGGTTCAAATGTTAGTGACCCTGAACATAAACCTTATCTTCCGTGTTGGTCTGCCCCTGGCCCCCTGCATAATTCCTTCCCAATCCGTCGAGGAAGCCGACCAACAACTTTCGGAATCAGTCATTTCTATATGTCCGTGGTAGGTACCATTGCTGCGCCGCAGGAGTACCTAGGCGTCGGCGGGGTGACCCGAGAGAAGAGTTCCAACGCGGAATTCAGCAGGGTATCTAAGCACAGCTGAAGTGCAGATGTAACGTACTCGTTGATGGGCGAATCACAGCTGACGCAGTTTGCCCCCCTCAGCCCCTGGACAGAAAGCCTGCTCCAACGGTAAAATGAAGGTTCTTGTCAGATTTCTTGTTGGTTGTGATTGACATTCGTCTTTAATCGCTCATGTCTGGCTATCTGGCTGGACAGCGCGGAAATCTCAGGAACCCTTTTGACAATTGATCTTCATCTCTCAACATTGCATGAGGTCAACCCCGAAAGTGCATGAAAATTTCGCACAGTACATTGTCTCCTTTCGGCGCCGATCTCATGGCCACTTTGAACGCCAAAAAGCTCGTGTCGGACATTGCCAAGGGGCATGGCTATCTGGCCGACGAGGATTTGCGAAGTCTTGGTGAGAACCGATTCAAGGTTGAGGAAGCTTTATCCAATGCGCATAGGATGTCTGGATTGAGTGTGATCACGTACGTAACAGGAAAGCTACTTGGTTCCATGAGAGAACACTAACAAGGGGAGAAAAGGCTCTCAAAGAACTTGTACTCTAGCAACGCTCGTTTCGTCTTTGAGCTTCTCCAGAACGCCGACGACAATCACTATGAGAAGGCTAGAGAATCAGGCACCGCACCGTTCGTGTCCTACAAGATCTTTCCTGACAAAATCGTCCTGGAATGCAATGAGGATGGTTTCAGCCCCGAGAACCTCAAAGCGATTTGCGCTATTGGTCAAAGTTCCAAGACGGGTGCTCAAGGCTACATAGGAGAGAAGGGCATAGGCTTCAAGTCCGTCTTCATGGTAGCCTGGAAGGTGCATATCCATTCAAATTACTTCTCTTTCACCTTCACCCACAAGAAAGGAGACTCGGGGATGGGCATGATCTCCCCAGTATGGGAAGAAACTACTGAAGAGCTGAAGTCACCGTTGACGCGCATCACCCTCTATCTCTACGAAGCCGGCGACGAAGCTGAGAGGATACGTGGATCAATTCGGTCCCAGTTTGAAGACTTCCAAGCAAACATGCTTTTGTTCTTCAAAAATATACGGAAGATACAGGTCGCGTTTTACGACGACAAGGGACAACAATCGTCTTCGGAGACCTATAGCATCGCACAACCAATTCCGGGCCATGCGACGCTGACGAAAATCAAGACGACGGGCATGACGACTGAATCAGAGGACAGACACTTTCGTGTCGTACGGCATGTCGCAAAGAACTTGCCACGGAACGAGAACAGGACTTACTCGGAGTCTGAAGAGTCCACTCGAGCTTACTCCACGTCTGAAGTCGTCCTCGCATTCCCGATCTCGGATTCATCAGTTCCCATCATAGAGCCTCAAGAGATTTTTGCCTTTCTTCCCGTCAGGCCAGTCGGATTCAACTTCCTCATTCAAGCCGACTTTGTTACAGACGCGAATAGGCAAGACATCCAGACGTTTTCTCTTCGCAATTCTGGCCTTCGCGATGCCATCGCCGATGCATTCGTTGCTGCAGCCATGCAAATTTTCGACCATCCGATCTTGCGGTACACCTGGGTCAAGTATTTGCCACGACAGAAAACTTTTCCTTTTTCCCCTTTCTGGAGAGATTCGGTTACGCAGATCGAGCAGAAAATTAAGAAGGCACCCGTCTTCTACGACCACAAAGGCTTCGGTGGACGATTGCTGACCGACCTTGTCCGAGCCACTTCTGACGCGATCGATGAAAATGGAGAGCCTCTCTTAGACGATGGCGACATAGCAAAGATTATTTCGCAAAGTTACGGCGCCAAAGATCTTGACGTCCTTCAAGAATACGGTCTGCGACGCGTCAGCTTCGGACACTTCATAACATGGCTTGAAATAGACCTCGCTAAGGGTGTTTCGTCCCGGATGAAGTCTCGACATACGACCAAGCATTGGCACAACAAAGTAGCAAAACTAATTTATCGCATCCTCAGCCCAGAAAGCTTCGGATATTACAATGAACGAATCAAGCAGATGGACCTCCTACCTTTGAGTGACGGCACTTGGGTATCTGCATCATCAGGGCCAATCTACTTTCCACATCTCGATTGCTTGGACATACCTGGCGATATCGGCCTGAAGCTCCTCTTGAACCCGGTAGATGTTTCAAGGAGAACTAGGCTATTCAGAGCTCTAGGCGTACAGACCGCCCCTTTGCAAATGATACGACAGGCCATTGCAGATCGTTATAAAGATCCTGAAGCTCTGGAGAAGTCTTTCTTCAGCGTCAATCTGTCGAACTGCCACCTTAGATTTTGGTACTTGACAGATCATCTGGATAAAGAGCGTTTGGTATCAGCACGTTACTTTCGAATTTTTGACCAACATGGGCAACTTCGAAGTCCCCTCGATCGAATAATGTACATCGCGACCACTGATCCATGTGGCCCTTCAGAAGTCTTGAAAAAGACTGCTTCCGGCCCGAACCGCGGAGATGGTGCGCCTGGTATCGACGCTCTGTTCGTCAGTCAATCCTATTTCAGTGGGAACTTTGGAGAACCCATTCAGCCGGAAGGCCAAAAAGATTCGTGGCGTACTTGGTTTGCCAGAGAATTAGTGGTTAAAACACATGTACACTTTCTCGGGCAACTTGCTCTAACGAGGCACGGACGATACATCAGACTCTACAGACCAGAAAAGTTCATGGAATGTCTTGTCCGATGGTATCAGGCTAGATTGCCGGGAACCCTCAATTCCGAGAACATCAAATGTCTCCTGAAAACCAACGTTCTGTGCCGAGGCAATCACTCAGTTCCTCTAGAGAACACCTACTTCCCTGTCCAGAGACTAGAGGCACGCGTATCACGTTTTCTCATTGACGATGCTCCCTTTCCCTGGCTTTGGCTCGAGGGTGACGAAACTCATGAAGAAATTCCACCGAAATGGAAAGGACTCCTCTTGGAACTCAATGCCGGCCGGCCTAAGAGCGATCTCGATTTTGCTTTGGCTATTCTTGAGTATTCCTCCAAGATTTTCTCGCCCTCTATCAAGTCTGCGAGTATCAGCAGGTTATTCGAGTTGTACAAACACATTCAGACTCAATTCACAGAAAACAAGGACCGAGCCACAGCGGCAGGGTTGATACGGTATGCCAAATTTAAGCTTGGCGTCTGATGGAGACACTGACACTTGCAGGACCGTTTTCCAAACACAACGGTGCATTTACATACCGGTGTCAGGGGACTCTTGCTTGTGGGCTTTGCCAGACGAATGTGTATGGGAGGCGCCACAAAGAATGGAAAGCAAGTTTGCTTTGCAAGAACTCTATCAGCCCTGGCTCAGTGCGAACGACATGGACAGCTTACTCCTCATGCATCTGTTCACAATCGCACTTGGAATCGGGAACTGCACGTGGAGTATTCTTGTTGAAGAACTGCGCAAGCTTAAGGATCTGAAGATCGAAGACATTGACAGAGTCGGTACCATTTATCGAGCTTTGTTTGAGTTGATCGCCAGCAACGAAGCCATCGATAGCACTGAGATAAGGTGTTCAACCGGGCGACTTTCCTTTCCCAGATGCGATAGCTAATTCCTTGCGTACTCTAGGGCATCCTTCGAGAGCGAGGGATTGATCTTCGTTCCTTCAGATGACGGGAGAACTTGGCACAAAACGTCGGAATGTGTGTGGTCCAGCGCGACCAAGTTGAGAGGAAGAGTGTCTCTCACAGACGACTATGAGGATCTTGAACAGTTCTTCGTCGGCCACCTAGGAGTCAAACCAGTGGAATTATCAATGGCCATTGACGAGTTGAAGGATTCAGCTTCGAGGGGATCGGCTGGATTGACGGAAATCAAGGAATCCATCTGGGTCGTCAACTCACTGCTCTCATCGGTCCCGAATCTTCCTAACCCCCGTACTTTATCAAAAGCTTCGATTTTCCCCATCAGACGCCCAGACGGGAATGTTCAGGCTGCAAGTGTGGCCACAGAATTTTGCATCATCGACCGGGAGCCACTTGAGTCCATATTCAAAGGCATGGTGAAGATTCTTGACTTCACGTTGAAGGAGGTCGCTCAGCTCCATCCCTTCATCGAATGGATGCAACTGCAAAATCGATACATTTCAAACTGTGTCAAAGAAATCACCTCTTTCCACGGCGAAATATCCACTTCAACTACGACTTTGAACCCGCATCGACAGATTCGAAACCGAGCACACGCTATCCTCAGGTCAGTCCCATGTTCTTCGCTCGCGAATACATACTGAAATCAAGAATTAGGGTCGCTGCGCATTTTGGCAGCCCTCGTTGCCGAAGCGCGAGAGATACGAACTCATTCTACGATACCTTGAGATCAGCGCAGATATACGAGACAGACGGTATTTCTTCAGATCTCTGTCTCTCCCAAGACGGCATCTCGCATCGCGTCGAGGGTCGAAGGACAACCATGCACATCGACGAAGAAAATTCGAGCTTGAAGTTCTACCTACCTCGAGACAAAAACGACCAGGACTACATGTTTTCCAGTGTCCTCCCTCGAAAGCTTCTGGAATTGATCATGAGACACCCGGTCACACACATTTCCCAGGATACCTCGAGCGGTAGCTTGGATGCGATGAAGAACATTCTGCTAGCACCGGTTTCTTTGCTGAACAGGGCTCTACAAGACAGCGGCATAGCCCATATTGATGTTGTCAACCGTGACGAAGTCATGATACCATCATCTCCCGCAGTTCCGACTGTTCATAGGGAGAACAACGCCGGCTCAGTTGATGATGGATCAAATTTGTCGGGTTCTAGCGAATCGCAGTCCCTCGAATCCACAGGCTCAGGGAACCTGACCGATTCAGAAGTCTCTGTGACTGCCGTGTCTTCCTCGCAGTGGCGTTCCAACGCTTCGCCTCCTAGACTCGTCCAGCATGTACTGCAGACGCCTTCGCCCCGGAGATTCCAGGATGAAACTGCCAGCGACGCACCCTATGTTTCCCTCTTGGACAGAGTCATTGCCGCAGGTCGCAGAAGACGAGTCAATGGGCTTCCAGTTTGCGGGACATTCGACATGAGCCAGTTGCAAGACAATCTGCCAGCCTCTCGTCAAGACACGGATTTCGGGTTACGCTCAGCACCTCAAATCGAACGAGACTGCAAGATTGGCGCAGCAGGTGAACTCTTCGTAAGTGATGTCCGTGATTCGTATGCTAGCCCGCATGGCTTACCATTGCAAACATAGGTCTTTGAGCTACTGTCACACTTGTACGAAGATAACTCCCCCTTGGCGCCGTTACCTGGATTCTCTAGGAGTAGCTGGCAAAGCACTATCCGCAAGTATGTGACAGTACATCCGGAGTACGTAGGCATGTCGCCATGGAGCGGCCGAGAGACCTCGGATATCGTATACCAGGATACTAGCAATAGGTTGACGGCACTCTTCATCGACAAGAACTACCTCCGGGAGCAACCGCGGGGTTCGACTGCTGGTGGTCTGAAGTACTTCATCGAGGTCAAAACGACTACCGCGGCGTGCGAAACACCATTTTACATGAGCAAAGCTCAATATCAAAGAGTGCGTCTTCTCACCCCTATGTCGTGTCCCAAGGCAGCGTCTTCTCCAAGGGGAAATTGAGTGCGAGAGACTAACAACTCACAGATGAGAGATCAAGTCATGACAGAAAACAGCGACACAGTCTATGTCATTTTCAGAGTCTACAACCTAGGACAGGCAAACATGGGTCTCAAGGTGTATCTGGACCCGGAGACATTGAGAAGGTCTGAGCAGTTGAAGTTCACTGCCGAAACTTGGTCTGTCATTCCGGGTTGAGACTACTAGAAACCCGAGGTATATGGTCGGCTTCAACACCGGACAGACTCAAGATTTGCCCCCAAACTCGAGTTGAACTGTTTTTCCAAAAGAGTCTGCCAATCTATTGGCCCGTATGTAGAGTTTGGATGCAATGCAGAGTGCTTGAAGTTCAACGTCTATTAATCATCGATCCTTGAGGGCCGATTAGCATTGCTGCATAACCTGATCTTTGTATTTTCTAAATCACAAACTCAACACACCCGCCAAAACCTCCTCCGTCCCAACAACCTCCGCAAACTCCCCATCCAAACTAGCCAAATTCACAGCATGCACAGTCTCGGCATCAAACCCACCCTTCTCATACGTCGCAACCGCATCCCGAACCAATAGTACACCATTGCCATCTACCCCTCCATCCTCGCCTAGAACCTGAAGGTTAGCCGCCATCCGCACTGTAGTGCTCACACAGTGATCAGTCGTAAGGCCGACCACTATAAGCTGCCGGATCCCCGCGGCCCTTATTGTCGCCTCGAGCTCGGTGCCGATGAAGGCGCTGTTGAAGTTCTTCGTGAAGACGGGTTCCGAACCCGAGGTGAGCGGCGCTGCGAAGGGGAGAGGCGCGACGGACGGGGTTGATGATCCTTCGAGATAGTGTGTTGGGTGGAGGGCGGAAGTAGGGGATAGGGAGTGATGGTGGACATGGAGCACGAGTACTGGGTGCTTTTGCTCTTGGGAGGCCGGTGCTGACTTGAGGGCATCATTGTGTTTGCGTGCAGTCGCGAGAAGTGTCTCGACGTTGGATTCGAATTCCGGTGTGCTGCGTGATGAGCCCCAGTGGGTGGGATGCTTGAAGCCCTCTTGAATGTCAATCAGGACGAGCGCCGTAGCTGTGCTGGATGCGTGACGCATGGTGATGGACGAGCTTCGACAGGTGCCGATGATGTCTTTGGCAATAAGAACTATAATCTGTGGTTGATGGTTTTCTCGCTTTAATGTCACCGTTTCTGATGATCGATGGGGGTTTAGTAGCTGTCGACTTGCTATTTACCACGCTTACATATCAAGAGAACAGACGCCCTTCTCAATTCGGCCAGTCATTGAAAGGGCGTCCAATGGACTTCAACGCGAGAGAAGGGTTGCTCGATTACCACATTTCCAACCCTTTCTTTGGCTGTCATTGGTATTCAAGAAAGAAATGCGACCACACGTCGGGCTGGCCCGCCGTGTGAATGTTACCAAGAGTTAAACCCGCACCGCAAAGCAGAAAAGCCTGTCAATACCTATCCCATAGCGTGCTGAACGGCGTCGTAAAATGACATGCGGGGTAAAGCGCATAACATGCTGTTCCGCATATCCGCCAACCTAAAATTCTAAGCACAGCTTTGGAGAAAAAGGTAAAAAACAGCATTAGGACGCATCACCTCACCCTAGTCATCACAGATGTGTGTGCAACACCAAAAATGAGATCAACGAACAACAACGCAGAATACAAAAAGAGATCATCGCTCCCGCGAGGGAACTACGCTTACATGCCTCGTGGCGGAATCGAACCGCCGATCTTCTCATGTCACTAGATACTAGTGAGACGCTATACCACTTAGCCAACAAGGCGATGTTTCCAGGGAGCCAGCAACAAACTCAAGGACCACTGCGGCGGATCCTCTCCACCAGCTCGCAATCCCCACCAAGTGAGAGAGGCAAGTTCCACATCTAGAGGGTTCGGTTCTTGAGATGCCAAAGACTCTTCCTCTATCCCTCTCTCTCAATAAGTTACTCTCCAGACAGATCCTAGCCTAAGACATCAGAAACAGGAAGCGTGTAGCGTGAGGTGAGTCAACAGTCAAAATTCTCGTCTTCTAACAGGGCTTACACGGTTTACCTCTCAAGCGGTCTTGAGGACCACAGCAGCCCCCGCCACAACTCATTCGAGTATTCGAAGTACTTTGCCACACAAACTGTACGATACAAGCTCACGGTAAACAAGTCAAAAAAATAGTCCAGAGACTCAATCAAGTCCATCATAAAAGTATACTTTGTATTCGCTGATAATATCAGTCACCCATGCTGAATGGTGAGTGGGGAGCCAACTCCAACAAACAACCGTCAAGTAGTAACCTCGCCCAAAAGTCCGTCTATTCGCTCAAGTAGCCCAGAGTTGTAACAATCAGGTAAGGTAGGTAAGCTCAGCCCAAAGAAGAATCGAAGTTCAAACGGTTGTGGTATCTCGTGCGCACTTATCCCTTATTCCCCCCGAAGCACTTTATGCCTTCTCGGGCTTGGGGACGTTGGGTGCATCCTCAGCGACATCCGCTGACGGGTGCTTCTTGCCCTTCTTCTTGGACTCCTTATCCTTCTTGATGGCTGCCTCGGCGACGAGCTGCTCGAAGACGAGGTAGTCACCTTCCTCCTCGGGGGATCTCGCGGCCTGGAACAACATGTTAGCACCATGAATAGAATGGCAAACAAGAGAAAAAAACATTACCTTGGAGAAGATGTCACCAATGATGACCAGTGCCTCAGCGCGTTCCAGTCTCTTGGCCAAGGGGATCTTCTTGTCGTTGAGGACAGAGTCGCACACCTCACGCAGCACACTCTGAATCTCGAACTTGGAGCCGCGCCATGCAGCGGTAAGGATCTTGCCTGTGACACGTCGCTCGTACTCGGCCTTGCGATCCTCGGACCACTCCTCGCCGCCCTTCTCCTCCATGCGCGCCATCTCCTCAATGGTCTGCTGTGCGTCGATGGCAGAGCTGATGGTGTTCCAAGTCTCCTTCACAATCGTGCCCTTGTCCTTGACGCGGCTGAAGAAACCGCCAATGCCGAGGAACTTCTGACTCCGCAGCAAGCCGGTAGCCTTGGCCAAGTACGTCTGGCCAATGGCGTGGAGAATATCCAGACCGAAAGACTCCATCTTCATGTTCTCGACCTCGAGACGAGTCTTTTCTTGGAACGCCTTGGTGACGTCAGCGCCCTTGTCGGTCTCGGTCCACACGCTTATTCTGTCGAGGAGCTTGCGGGCGAGGGTGTCGACACGCTCCTGGCGGACGCGGGCGCGCTCCTTGTCGTAGGCGGCGAGCTGATCGCGCTGCTCCTTGGTCAAGCTGCCCTTCTTCTTCTCCTTCTTCCGCAGTGACTCCTCCGACTCGGGCTGGCCTGCGACCTCGTCTGAGGGCCTGTCCATAAGCGCAGGTCGGAGAGGGATCTGAGTACGCTTTGCGGTACCCGAGGTACCGGACGGGCTCGGTGACGGTGTTCTAGCCTCAGCAGCGTATGCGGGAGGAGGCGCATTGGCGGTGCCAGTAGCGGCAGAGTCGGCTGCCTTGTGAGCCTCCTTCTCATCTTCAACGACGACAGTTGGCGGGGGAGCAGTGGCAGCACCGGCGGCGGCGCCAGTCTTCTCTGCGTCTTCGGCCTTCATGCTCTCCTTCTTGGCCTCCTCAGTACCGGGGAACTCGCCGTCCGCAGCTTCGGCGCCCTCAGCGCCCTCCTCGCCTTCCTGCATGGTGATATCCATCGTGGCCGTCAGATCCTTCATCAGACTAATCTCACCGATCCAGTCGACGAAGGCATCGCCGCCAAAGATGGAGCTGAAGAACTCGGCCGGGTCGGCAAAGCCCTCGGAAGGCTTCGCGCTGTCCTTTCCATACTTGTCGTAGGCTGCTCGGAGGTCCTTGTCGGAGAGGACTTGGTAGGCTTCGCCAATTTCTTGGAACTTTTCGTGGGCGGAGGGGTCGTTGGGGTTCTTGTCTGGAGGAAGGGTCAAGTCAGCTTCCGTTACGCCGTAGAGAGCAGTATAAATCTGAACCGGTAGCTTTGCATACCTGGGTGGTGAACGATGGCAAGCTTTCGGTAGGCCTTCTTGATCTCGATGTCTGTGGCGGTGGGCTGGACACCGAGAGTGTCGTAGTATGCGGTATCGACGACCATGGTCGCAAGGAATGAGGGGTATTAGATAGAAGGAAATCTAGGGACTGAAACGGCGCAAATGTTTTCTTGGTTGATAAACAAGAGAAAAAGGTTGAGTGAGGGAGTAAAGAGGTCCTCTGCAGGAGAGATCGCGGGGTGATGAGGGTAGGGATAGACTTGCGAATCGTGATTCAAGCGAGAATCACAAGGAATCGGACGTAGCGGCGGTCGAATGAGCTGGGCGGTGCGGCGTGCCACACCAAAAGTGACCCAACTGCTACAAGGTGCCCGCCGATTATTTTTTGGGTGGATTTACGTTTTCGCGGTGCCCCGCCAGATTACGTCGTTGGGCGAGACCTGTGGGCGCTGGGCGGTCACCAACGGTCAGGTTTCAGTGAGCATTGTGGTGACTTTTTTTGGTGAGTAACCATGCACTGCCATGGAACTGCTAGGCTGAATTACGGTACCTACTTCTGAGCCTTACGGCTGGTAAGGTAGCCTGCCCTCCCACTGGGTGCTGGCAAGGTGCCATTCTTCCCTCCCGGCCTTCCATAGGCTGCATGGACGATGGCGATGTCCACTGCGGCCTTGGAGATTACGCGGACAGGGACCTACTGGCAGGGATGACGTTGCACGGTCCAGCCCATCTGCCGCTCTCTGTATTTGCATCACAAAGAGTTGGCATTCACGATGCAAAACCTTCCTCAACTCAAAATAGGTTCATGAAGGAGTTCTTTGTAAGTTCCGAGGGAGACACGCGTGGCTGGTATCAGGTTGCTATCGCGGTCTTCCATCTACAGCGTTAGATATCATATTGGAACCGGTGTACCCGTAAGTTGTTACGACATCGTCACATTTTCTAGGCCTCCAAAGTGATCGACAACAGTCGGCGATCCGCTTCACAAGCTTTCAGAGCTCAAGTCAACCGGACAACGCCGAGATGACTCTTCTCCACCCCGGCTGCACCGATTCTCACGCAAAGGACACCGTTCAACCCTCAGTGCCTGACACCAGCCCGATGGCCTCTGGAATCAAACTATGCTCACTGTATCGATTGGGTCACTTTTCAAACTGCAATTTGTAAGGTTCATTCCATTTTCTAAGTCTTGCTAGGGCAGACAAGTTCCCAAATGCGCCAAATCCGATTTTCTTTTTTCTTCTATTTACACGACACCGTTGGCCTTCATGCGCTCGAAACATCCCCTGTAGGCATCGTGAACCTCGGGAACAGTGTAGTTGTACTCCTTGAGCTTCTTCTCCAACTTGGTGGTGTCGAGCTTGCAGTTGCTGCGGCCGGCCTTGATGACCTTGGCTTGTTCCTCGAGCGAGAAGTTCTTCCATGTGAAATCGGGACGGACAATCTCCTTGAAGAGGGAGAGCACCTCGTTGTGAGAAATGGCACCGGGGTTGGTGAAGTTGTAGATGCCGGTGTCCTTGTGCTCGGCCATGAGGATGGAGGCCGGAAGGAGATCGGTGAGGATGGTGTTGGAGTTGGGGATATCAACGACACGGTCGTACTTGGCAATCTTGGTAACAAAGTTGCGGGAGTGAAGGTCGTCGCTGACGGGCATGCGCAGGCGGAGGATGAGGCAGTTCTTGTAGTGCTTCATGATCTGCAGAGTACGCAATTAGTAATTGATCCAGACGCCGGTGACTTGGGAGTCGTAACGTACCTCCTCAACGTGACCCTTAGTGTCCGAGTAGAAGCTGCCCTTGAAGTTGGCAGGGTCGGTCTCGAGGTAGCCAGCGCCGCCAATGGGGTGGGCATCGTCGTACTGGTAAATGCAGCCGGTGGCGAAGACGGTGCAGTGGATGCCCTTGAGGAAGCAGGCATCGGTGAGGTTCAGGGTGCCGATGACGTTGGATCGCATCGTGGCCTCCTTGTTGTCCTCACACCAGTCGACATTGGGGCGACCAGTGCAGCCGGCGCAGTTGAGGACGTGGGTAGGCTTAACCTTCTCGAGCTCGGCGAGGACGCCCTCACGGTTCTCCATGCGGACGGTGGTGGTGTAGACCTCCTTGCCCTGTCCCTCGAGGAGGACCTTGAGGTGGTTCGCAACCCAGCCCTCGCCGCCCCAGATGAGGAACTTGTTCGCGGAGTGTCCGTTGGTAGCCATTGTGGATGAAGGTGGTGTTGTTCGTCCCGTTGGGATTATAGTTTGAATTATCGGAGGGTCGTCGGAGAGGGGTCGGGCGGGACTTTGTCAGGTTTGACTCGCTGCTGGGATGGTGTAAGTTGATGACCGAGTCGGGTGGGATGTCGATTCGGACGTCTTATATGCTCGAGACTGGCAAGGGAGAAGACAGCTGGGAGGGTGAGGAAAGAAGAAGAAAAGGACAAATTGAGTAATTTGTAAGACAAGCCACTCGAGCAGCAGGGAAAGGGGAGAAAGAGTGTGAGACGGATTATTTATCTGGGGTAAGCGTGGCAGGTACGAGGCCAGGGAGAGGAGGAGGGGAGGACATAAAGTTTGGGTTCAGGTACGAGTCGTACTATCTGCCAATCTGCCACTCTGCCCTTTCAGCTGCGCGCGGTCTCGACCCTCTTGACCCTCCCGTCTTCCGGTATGCTGGTCTCTGTCTGGATACCTACTGCAGAGCAGCAGCAGTAGCACAGCCAGCGATAATTAGTTGCAGCGACTTACATTGGACAGATGGTGCGTTCGAATGTCGTTCCCACCCCCACCTTCGGGAGGTACCACGGTCAAAGGTGCGACCCCGTAGCGAAACTTACGTACCTCGAGTACGAAGCTTACCAGGAGCTACGTTCCATGTTGATAGCTGCTGTTATCGGAGAGAGTAGCAGACAGCTATTTCCGTCCTGGCGTCCCCTAGCTTTGTCATGAGCTCTGGTGAAGTGGACTCCATGGAAGATAGTTACCAGTAGTGGCAGGATATGATTAAGCAGACCATGAAAAATCATCATGTTAGTAAGAGACATAAGGGAAAAGTAGCTACTTAGCTACGTGGTGCCGCAGCAGCTCCAAGACAAGTATCGCGGAAGTGATGCGGCCTAAGATGAAGGAGGCTAGACGGATGAAAAGCCTCCCTTGGGGGATGCAGACAGTGAGACATTGCCGTCCGATGGCTCACCGCATTATGATCCCTTGGAGGTAATGGCGGTGGTGGTGGCAATAGCGGGCAGCGGTAGACCAGCGAGGGTCGAGTGCCGTGTCGGCCGTGGTGGAGACCAGAGGCCCGGAGCCGCAAAGAAACGTCCATCTCGGATATCTCCAAGGGTCTTGGCCATGTGCTGCTGCGATGCCACCGTGGGATATCCAGAAAACCAGACGATGGGTTGCGCGCTGATCGGATAGTCGGGCCATGAACATGAAGGGGGAGGCTGAGCCGTGGGAACAATTGGACTGCTGCCGTGTCGGGGGGGCTGACATGCGTGGAATTGCTGCTGCTGCTCTCCACCCACACCTCGATTGGCGTATGCAGCAGAGTCGATAAATCATCTGTTGTCTGCCTTCTTCTTTCTTTCGGTGTGTGAAGAGGAGAAACAGGAGCAGTAGCAACATCAAAGGTGCGAAGAAGTTGCCAAGGGAAAATGTCGCTAAATGAAAAGTCATGTGAGTTGGGCCGTTGGTTGCTAACCAGACGAGAAAGAGACGACCCCGACGACCGATAAGCGTTCGAAAAAGGCAGGAAGGCAGACCCTGAAATAACGAATTCCTTCCACTCCCAGCATGGAAGGAACCGCCATCCCGTGCCCCGCACCTGCTGAAATTCGAGAGTGAGAAGCAAACGACCCGGAAGGCAGGGACCTGTCCCGCCGTCACCTGCCATTTGCCAATCAGATCTAGCCGTCCATCCCATTGGTTCGCTTAGCTTTAGCCGAACTGGCTCAGTCAGTGCGTTCCTGACGCCAATTTCAGTGAATGACACGCTGGATTGGGCGACGTTTAGCGGATGGGCTGCGATGTACAGGCGGGGTTATCACTGTAGACCACCTCACCAAGAACGCTGAGGCCAACCCCGAGGTGCCCTAAAGGCTTACTCAATGACCTCTAGGTACCTGGAAATGAGGTGAGTGTGACGGGAAAACGGTCCCAGGTTGCATTTTCCATGGCAATTTGGAGAAAAGGAGCTGGGGTCAGCTGCACTAAGGTCCTTTCCCCGTTTTGGCGCCTTCCTGCCCGGGTGAATTGGTCACTTTTTTGGACTTCTGATTTGATGACAGCGGAGAACTTCTTTCCCTCCTATTCTTCCGCGGTCTTGTTGTTGAATCCCCGTCTGCCGTTCATCCAGGGTCAACAATTCAATCTGCTTGTCGACTCTTCTTCACGCAACTGCCCATGTCCTCCTTGCTATAAAACGCACGCGAATTCAAAGTCATTGATTGGAACGTGAGCAAGAAAAAAAAGCAGAAGCTGAGACCACCTGCCAACGACTGCGCGCGCAAACCTTCAATCCGCAGCCCACGACGAACCCGCACACAGCCTCTGGTCAACTCCACGAACTCTACGAGGACCGACTGACCTGGTCTTGCCGCCTACTACGAGACTCGACTTCACCCTTCCGTTGCCTACTATTCAAGCCTCTTCAAGCCTCTGCGCTACTGTCCGAATCCGTTCTGCAATCCGCCGTCCGCCGTGACGACAGACCGCCATCATGGGTGTCATTTACTACCTCCTGCACCCGAACCAGCTTCGCTCCATCATCCAATGGTACGCCGCTTGACCTCCTCTTGCCCAGCACGCGCGTACAGTGCGCTGCTGCTCCTCTACGTTACGCCTGCTAATATACTCCTAGGAAGGTCTGGCACGACCCCGTCCACCACCGCGATCCCTCCAAGGAAGACCCTACGCTGAAGTCTTGCTTTGAATTCCTCAACAAGACGAGCCGCAGTTTCTCCGCCGTCATTCAGGAGCTCAACCCCGAACTTCTGGTTCCCGTCTGCCTGTTCTACCTTGTGCTGCGCGGCCTCGACACCATCGAAGATGATATGACATTGGATATCAAGGAGAAGGAGCCTTTGCTGCGCCAGTTTGATAAGTACATGGAGACGGATGGCTGGACTTTCACCAAGAACGGGCCCAATGAGAAGGACCGCGAGCTCCTGGTGCACTTTGACGATGTCGTCGCCGAGCTGAAGAAGATCAAGAAGCCCTACTACGAGATCATCAAGGATATCACTATCAAGATGGGCAACGGTATGGCCGACTACGCTCTCAACGCCGAGCACAACGAGAACGGTGTTGCGACCATCAAGGAGTACGAGCTTTACTGCCACTACGTCGCCGGTCTTGTCGGTGACGGCCTGACCCGCCTCTTTGTCGAGGGCAACATGGCCAACCCCAAGCTTCTCGAGCGCCCCGCGCTCACCGAGTCCATGGGACAGTTCCTCCAAAAGACCAACATCATTCGCGACGTTCACGAGGACTACCTCGACAAGCGCCGCTTCTGGCCCAAGGAGATCTGGAGCAAGCACGTTGACACCTGGGACGATCTCTTCAAGCCTGAGAACCTGCCCAAGGCTCTCGAGTGCAGCTCCGAGATGGTGCTCAATGCCCTCAAGCACACTGAAGAGTGCCTGTTCTACATGGCCGGCATCAAGGACCAGAGTGTCTTCAACTTCGTAGCTATTCCCCAGAGCATGGCTATTGCGACGCTGGAGCTCGTCTTCCGCAACCCTGCCATTTTCAGCAGCCACATTAAGATCACCAAGGGTGACGCATGCTACCTCATGACCAAGTCAACACAGAACCTCCAGATTGTGTGTGAGGTCTTCAGGGACTACACCCGTCGGATACACAAAAAGAATGATCCGCGCGACCCCAACTATGTGCAAATTAGCGTGCAATGCGGCAAGGTATGTAGTGGCAGTCTTTGTCTTTGTCTGACGACACATTTGTCTCGCGCCAGAAAGCCAATTGCTAACGGTTTAACCTCCAGATTGAGCAATTCATCGACTCGTTGTTCCCGAGACAGGACCCCAAGCTGCTCGGAGATGCGGCGAAACAGAAAGAGCGGGGCCAGCCGGGTATGGATGCAGGCGAAGCCTTCGTATTGGGCGGCATGGTTCTTTTGACCCTCTTTTTCGTATCTGGTCTTATGGTGAGTAGCTCTGAAATTTTCTTCCTCATCTCCCTCTTCTTCTTTCAACATCAACCTTCAGCTTCTGCTCTTCGACTCTCAACTCAACTGACCACCACTCTCAGATTGGAACTGCCTGGTTCTTTGGCGCACGCTTTGACTCGTTGTGGAAGACGGACAGCATTTACTGGCCTGGCAGCGAGACCGGCGCGGCGACGCCGATTGAGCACAAGGAGCTGTAACTCTACCAGACAGACAAGAACAAAAGCTGTTCTTTGACTGCTACGCTGCATCTGACTGTTGACGGTACATATTGACGAGGAGTTTTCGGTTGCTCGCCGCCGGCATGGCTACGAAATATTGAGGAGCCCATACTAATCTTGCTAATACACACCATCCTCGTGATGGGTTTTTCGCGACGCATCTTGACGTCTTGCTGCGTTCACATCGATCGTGTGTCCGACACAGTTCCAAAGGGACATCCACCGTCCCTCTACCAATCCCCCAAACCAAGCACGGATGTCAAATTGCAATTCAGTCCCATCGCAAGGTGGTCATGACTGTGGTTGTGCCGAAGAAGTGCTGATATCAAACCCCACCGGCAAAGACCCCGTCCATCACGCGACGGGTACGGGGCGGGCGTGTCTTCCACTGTTCTCGGGACGCGCTCTTTTGCTCCGGCTTGCAAACATTTCTTGACCGTGTTCCACTGTTTCATGTGTTTCTTCCTTTGACTACGACAAGCCCTTGTAGTAGCCATAAGGCTAGATCAGTGAAAAGCCTCCCTATCTCTGTCTGGTCCCGGAGCCTGTGACGATGAGATGACAGGCGCTGCCATGGCATCAAGTAGATGAGCCTGTCGCCAAGATCGATATGACCTGTCTCTAAGGACTGCTCTGGAAGAACTCATCTCGATTTCGAAGTCCAAGGAAGAGCCAAAGCAACGGCCGATGAATTCAAATCATCTCGTGGCAAGGGAACCGTTGTGATAAAAAGACGCAAAAACCCAAAATCCAAGTTATCGTCCCAAAGCCCTTAGCTAAGTGAATTGGTCATCACCGCAATGCAGAGAGCACTTGGCCTGCTTGGCTTGGCCTCCTGTCGAACATGGACATTGCAAGTCACGTATAATCAGATGAAGCATGCAGCGCCGCGATGCCTCTATATGTACCTTCTCCTTTGAACCCACGGAGCCGCCTAGGCTTACCAGGTTGCTGCGCAGTCTGCTCTTCTGTTTTTAAGGCCCGCCACCAGAGTCCTTCGTCTCGTCTTCTTTCGTACCCGTTGCAGGAGGTAGCAGTGCGCAGTTGCAAGTGAAGAAGATGCGGCTCTTGGAAGACTTCTCGGCGTTTATGCGCAAGGCCGAACCCGGTTTCCACTGCTTAGGTACCTGCTGTACGCACACATACCGGGGCCGTATTATGTGCTTTTTTTTTTTTTTATATAACCTTTTTGGGCCTGTTTTCGCCTTCTCCCCGACACCTGGGTCAAGTCTAGGGATTTCTGAAACGTGGGATGCAGCTCCAGCCTTTCAGCTCTGCTTCGCTCCCAGACTGGCCAGCCCTTCCCTTTCTCTCGGCTCGGGTCAGAGACAAGAGGCCAGAAACCACCAAACCACGTGAGTTGCGCGCACACACCTACCTACCTTGGCACTATTCCTCGTTGTCTTCTCTTATCGCTCTCATCCGCTGCGCGCGGGTGGCGTCTGGCGGAGAACGGCGCGCGTGCATGGAACGGGAATCCCGGGCTTGGTTGGTACCTCCCCCCCCCCCCTTTGACGCCAAGACCCGAGATCTCCGTTTTACATAGCAATGCCAGCGCCAGATTGATGGGGGAACGTTCAAGGAGAATTGGAGAAGGTGGAAAGGAAAACGGGACGTTTCGGACCGTTTATAATAAGAGACAAGCAATTCTTGGTCTTGTTGAATCATGCTTCAGCCAAGGCTCTGGGCTGGATCTATCTGCTTCCCCAGACTTCATGGAATACTACCGTTGTTTTGTCATCATGTAGACATGTCAGGTCTGGCCAAGACATCTGTATATATCTTAGTATTTGTCAATTCTATAGCACTGTTTGTACATGCCCTGCTCTTGGCTTGTCTTTCTTGTGTTTTGCGAGAGCGGTCGATCACCATGCGAATGGCAAGTATCTGGGACGTAGATGCCTTCAAATGTGACACGATGAATGAATACAGGCATCCTCTTCTCTTTCTCACTCTCTCTCGTTCTCGTATTTGACTTTCTCCATCTCGTCGGATCTTTCCATCTTCTCATCCTTTCCAACCGGCCCCGAAACGTACTCCCCGAAACGTGACCGTAGGACAATGGGCACTCGGGTGGCTAAAGTAGGTAGCTGCTCTCCCGTTCCTATTCCGTTTCTCTCGCCTTTTCCCCCTTCGGACGCCGGACCAAGCAAGGACTCACAATCTTATCTCGTTTCTGTGCTTGTGCGTGTGTGCGTGTGTATGTATGTGTATGTCTTGGAGATGAGACGAATGTTTGCGTGCGCTGGTCGGACCTTTCAGCTGACCACATGCTTTTCTTTCGCATCTTACCTCATCCCACAGTCATCAGCGAGTGTGTGTGTGTGTGTGTTTGTTCATTTACCCACACACGGTAGATGCCTCTGACGCACTCGCACCTCCATCCCATCTCCCCCATCCTCGTCAACTCTATTCAGTCTCCCCAACACCCAAAAAAGAAGGTTAAGAAGGAGGGAAGGGGGAGGGAAGAGGAATCCCCCATGGAACCTAGTTTCGGAACCAGTCATCCGCGCAGATGCCAACGCACCGTCTTACTGAGAACGAATTGGGAAAAAGACATCATAATCGTCTAATAATGTGCGACATCAACCCTTTCCTTCCTCTTCCATCCTGGATGGCTTTTCCCAAACGAGGCCCTCGGATAACGGATAACGGATAACGGCACGCAATGAAGCAAGACTAGGTACCGTGTTGAAAGGAAACGCTACAGAGTCAAATGCGAGAGAGAGAGCGCTACGCCAAGTTCATCTCATCCTTTGCATACCTTAATCTCCAAAACACCAGAAACACTAACCTTCACACACACCACCAAGACAATTCTCGCCCATGTTTCTTGTCCGTCCTTTAGGTGCTCCATCCTTTCCATCCCTTCCTTCTCTTTCGGGGAGTTGCGAGTGTTCTCGTTCTCTCCCAGTTTCCCCCAACTGTCCGAAATATGTCATGGCGTCATCCGCGTTTTGGGTTTTCCATCAGTCTTTTTGTTCGCAAGTAGGCCGAACAACGCACTGTCCAAACCATCTACTTATGGAAGCCTAATCTTGTCGAGAGTTTTTCACTCAGTGGAGGGAACTAGCAGCCAGTGGGCAGCTGTGTCCGCATATAGAATTGGAGAAGTTGAAAAATGATCACCTAAAATCATCAGATATGGTAAGGTCACGCAGATTAGGTTTCCCGCGCTGGCGTGTAGACTGTTGGAATACACCACTGCCAACCACCTCCGTCCCCCGATATGCCCTAGGATATGTAGATAGATGTTACGAGGTCAGGTGACATAATTAGATTGGCAAGCTCCGAGCCAAGTCATGAGCGATGACTGCAACACCAGAAGAGTACATCAACTATATCGCATCTTTGGAATTTACAAGGAGAAGGCAATATAGTCACGTGGCAAAGGTACAAGTAATCATAGTTGAACATGAAAGTGAATAGTCTGTAGCTGTCTGCTCTCATTACCAAGATCTCATTTTGAGAATCTCTGTCTTATATACAATGTGTCTTTTCTGAGCTTCAAAGGGAGAGCTCAAAAAGAAATATTCAAGAAAACAGGGTTTAGAGAAAAACAAGAAAAGGAGAAAAAGAGTTGTGAGAAAACCCAAGACAGAATGAATTTTCGAGTCCTGATGAAGTGATACGAGGGAACCAGCCCGTCGAGGGTTTTTCTACTCTTGAGTGGGAGTCTTTTTTTTCTTTGAACCTGTTTTTTTGTTTCCTTGAAATGCGGGTTTGAAGACCCTCTCTTTCTTGCTTTGTCTTCTCTCTCCTTTTACATACAATTGAAACCATCCGACAGACACCCGGAAACCCCAGGTATCCCATCTTGGATGGCGAAGGCTTGTGCTTTGCTTGCTTGCTTGCTTGCTTGCTGGTCCAGGCCGCGCGCCAATGCAGTGATGTGTGCGAATGACTGGGTATCCTCTAAAATGCCGTGAATTTGTGTTCATCTCCCCCTCGGATATAAAACACATGGGGGAGAATCACTTATTAAACCAAGGAAAACGTGTCGAAAAAGTCAACGTGACGCCATCATGCCTTTGAGGTTTCTAATGAAAGAAACGCTAAAAGAATCCAACCCCACCAACGTGGAATACATTGGGACATTTACTATCAGGGCAGAGCTTCTAGAGCTGTCCGTTGTTGGCAATCAGGTTGGTGGTGCCAGCAGTGTTGCGCTGGACAGAGGCACCAGAGGCCGTGGCGAGAGCGAGCATGCGGTCGGTAACAGCCTTGACGGTGTTAAGACCCTCAAGACCCATCAGGTAGGCGGCAAGGCCAGCGACGTGAGGGGAGGCCATGGAGGTACCGGACAGGGTGTTGGTGGCGGTGTCGGAGGTGATGCCAACAGAGAGAATGTTGACACCAGGGGCGAAGATGTCAACAACGGTGCCAAAGTTGGAGAAGGAAGCCTTGCGGTCATTGCGGGCATCGATGGCACCGACAGTGATGGCATTGGGGGCGGAAGCGGGCGAGGTGTTGGCAGCATCCTGGTTCTCGTTTCCGGCAGCGACGACGGGGACGATGCCAGCGTTGTTGAGAGCCTGGATAGCGCGGTTGACAGCAGCGGAAGCAGAGCCACCAAGAGACATGTTCATAACAGCCTTGCCAGTGAGGTTCTTCTTGGCGACGTCGTCAATGACTTTATTGTGATGTTAGTTTCGGAAATTTGCATAGGTTAAACTGTGGGGCTGTTGAAACTTACCGAACTGCATGCCATCGAGAACACCAGAGTTGGAGCCAGCACCATCGCCATCAAGAACCTTGACGCCAATGAGGTTGACGTTCTTGGCAACACCGAAAGTCTGACCACCAATGGTACCAGCGACGTGGGAGCCGTGTCCGTTCTCATCAGTGTCCTGGTAGTTTTCATTAGCATTTCTCATCTCACCCACTCATCTCAACAGATATCTAATACTTACAACACTGTTGATGAAGTTGGCGCCAAAGGTAGCACGGCCTTGGAACTCGGAGTGGGTGGTAAGGAT